AATAACATTTTTATTTTCAATTGGTACCTGCAATAAAAATTGTTTACCGATTGCGTCACCCTTCACCGAACTTGCAGGTCGTCTTTAGAATACTGTGCCGGTCCATAGGCGGACCTACTTATAATTGGTAAAGGGGACTTAATAGCCGCGTTATTCATTACTTTAACACAAATTGATACATATATCGCTTGATTTTAGTTTATACGAATTTTTAAAACTAAGATTTGGTCGTTGACCTTTAAATTGAGTTCAATTTATAAGACGGGATCGTTTCCGTTAGAAAATTAGCTTGAGATATTAAATTCAAAAAATATTCGGCCCTTTCACCCTGCTTAAAGCTAGTTTAATTCTAGGTACAATTCTCGTTGTTTATCTACCTCCCAGAATCTACTTACAAAAGCATCTTGAAAATCTTTGAAATTATTAAATGTTTCTTCTTTAAGAGAAGCCCAGTCGGCTGCGGCGCCTCTGAGACAAATCATTGCAAGACTGTTTTTGCATTCCTCAGATACACCCGCTTCAATAAAAATTTTATCTAGTTTTTTTTTTTTTAAATATGGGATGAACCTTGGAGTTCCGATAAAAAGTTAGGTTTCCACTCCCCAGATCACGCCAATGAGAGATGTATGATTTATTTTTTTGACTGTACCGCCAAAGAGTGTAGAGGCTCCGATAAAACGTTAGATTTGGATTATTTATTTTGATCTCGTCATGTTCTGGCTCTCCTATTATTTATAGTTTGTAAACTTTCGGCTAAAAACAGTCAGTGTTGCCGTTTCGGTACAATTGTACTGAATTCAGTACGAAACGATTAGATTCAGTACTTCAGTACAACTTTTTAAAAAATCAGTAAATTCAATACAAAATGCGAAAATAGAAAAAAGCAAAATTTGCAGCGTTTTGATACAAATCTATATTATAAATTTATTTTATTTCATTTTGGTCTAGTAACTGATTTCAAGTTGCAATTGCGGTATTTATGTTTATTGTTTTTGTGTTCTAAATAAAATGGACAGGAAACAATAATTTACTGTCAATAAATAGGGCCTGTTTTCTCGTAAAAAAATATATGACCGACACAAAATCAGAACTAAAAATATATTGATATAACGGTTCTACTATAAAAAATTATATTCAGTACATTTTTTCCCAATTCAGTACATTTTCCAAAAAAATTCAGTACAATTTTAAAAATCGTCGCGGCAACACTGAAAACAGTTTGTTGTAGACTTGCTAAACCTATAACTAAATTTTCAATTTTATTGTTAACTTCGATAAATCATTGTGATCCTCGCCCTAGCTTTACTCTTCTTTCTCGACATTGTTTATAATTATTTACACATTTATAGTTTCTTGTACTGATTAGTTAATCAGTCGATCTCTCAAAGAAAACATTAAAAAAATGGAAAAATCTCACCTAGATTTGCGAAGATTAGTCGATTCTTCTTTGTGCAGTCTCACCCAACGCCAACTTTAATTTTCGTTCACAATACCTAATATGTCGCTTTCCTTCGGCACTCGTTGGGACCAGATGAAGCGGTTCGATGTTTTAGATGGGTATACAACTATTATATTGTGCTAAATAGGACAATTGGAAACATTAATTTGCGAACAACGAAAAAATAAAACGTTTGTCACGCTGAACCTTCCTCTTTCGCAGTTCACACAAGACTGCCGGTTTCAGTTCCAGTGTTGCCAATAGGTGACATATGAAAGTCTCAACTTTACAAGTTGAAAATCGCCAGAAATCACCAGATAGAAAAAAATACGAGCGACTTTTTTTGAAAATATGGTGACTTGCGCGTGGCTACGAAAAAATAACTTTGATAAAAAAAACAAAATTTTACTATTTTTTTCAAAATCACAATAAAGTTAGGTTCAAAATATAGGTATAGGAACTTGTTTAAGAAATATAACATGCATATTTATTTAATACACAAGCATATTTTTTTAATAAACATCTAACAAAACAAAATTACTAATACTCTAAAAACAAAATAATTTCTATTCGATAAATAAGTTGGTTAATAAACTCTTAATAATGTCAAAATTCAAAATTATAGACATTTACTTTTATGTTCAATTGTACAACCACCCCTTTTTTAATTGCTAGGATATGGCCTACCTACTACACCCATTATCATTATTATCATCATTATTCATGATATGTAAAAGACACGTCTCAAATTCGAAGTCGCAACAGACCTTCTGAAATCGCTAGATCTAGCTACAAAATCGCTAAATTGGAAACCTTGTTCGGTTGTCTTCCGCGCACCACCAGTGTTGCCGCGACGATTTTTAAAATTGTACCTAACATTTTTGGAAAATGTACTGAATTGGGAAAAAATGTACTGAACAGTTATATCAATATATTTTTAGTTCTATTTCTGATTTACTCATATTATATTCTCTTATGAGAAAACAGGATTTGTTCATTAACAACAAATTATTTCTTACTGTCCATTTTATTCAGAAACACAATAACAATAAACACAAAGCTGTAGCGATTATAAATTGGAACTGAACATATTGGACTCATTGGAGTTAGAGAAGTATAGAACGGAGAAATAAGTACGTAAAAATCTACCACAAAGTGTGTTTCGGTAATTCCCCTAATTTCCCTGTAATGTCAAGCCAAGTTATTTGTTTTAATTATTAATTAATAGACTAAAATGAAAAACAAAATCAATAAATAAATTTATAATATAGATTTGTTCATTCAAATACTGCAAATTTTGATTTTCTCTAATTTTCGCATTTCGTACTTAATTTCGTGTTGTACTGAAGTACTGAATGAAATTATTTCGTACTGAATTCAGTACAATTGTACCGAAACGGCAACACTGCACCACACGTATCTCTCACGCACATATCCCCCGTCACTCTCACATAGGCGCGCGTTTGGGTCGCACCACCTCAATCATGATATATTTTATATTGGGAAATAAATTTTTTCCGAGTAAAATAATTCAAATTTTTTATAAATACAGGGTGTGCCATTGAAAATGTGACAGAACGACTGAAGATTCTCTGATTCAAAATCAGACGTTTTAATGAAACTTGCTTAGTTAAGCCTTTACGAAATACTGGATGCTACTTGAAAATTAAAAAAATTATTTTGGTGTCATAAGATTCATGCAAAACAAAAATCTACTTTGGTTGTATTTAATAATATAGAACAGAAGTAAAAGTTGGAAATGCTTTTGCCAGTTCTCCCACTTTATACACATAAATTGACAGGTTGGCAGCGGATCTCACCGAATTGGACGCGATACATTGGCGTACAAAATTATTTTATAGATGTTAAAAACAATTTCGAGTAAATAGTTTAATAAATTGTGAATAGCTGTTGAAATTTTGTAAAATTATAATTTGAATATTATAATACATGTTTAATAATTATTTATAATCCATAAATACATGCGATTGTCCGGTTCCGCCCATAACAATTTAAAATTACTTATTCTATGAAACGACACTGGCAGGTAAACATTACTGTGAAATTCTCGGAGCCTCCCGACGTGGTTTGACGTTTACCCCCTCTCTACCTACCAAAAGACTTTTCAACTTTTACTTTATCTATACAAATTGTCCCATTTAACTGTACTGTTAGAAGTTAAAAGAATTAACTTCAAAATTATTGTTTTTAAATGATTTATCACCCTGTATACTCTAACCCCCTATAAAGACACTTCACAAAACACGTGTTAACATGGTTTTGATAATGTTTTATTATATATCTCGTAAACAATATTTGAAATGTAATTAATTCCCAGACAGCACACCAAATCCTTTGGATATCTACTGAACATCCCAATATCCACTGAATGTCCAGTCCATGGTGGATATCTATTTTATATCCATGATATGTAATTTATAGACATGCAAATGTCCATATAAATAATAGTAATTATATAGCAAATTATTAAAAAATTACGCCATTGTGCTCACCATTGTGACTAATAGTACCGTTCAGATATTTAAAATAAATTTTTTTAAGGTGTATTCAATATCCCATGAACATCCACTAAATATATCAAAGTCTAGGCGCGAACGCAAACCATCGTGGATATCCACTAGATGTTATTTGATTCTGCTTATTAAGTATAGATGGCGATACCACTATCGCATCTACTCATGCTCGACCCGCCGTAATTGAGTTCGATCGAAATGTGTGTCCTAATCACTCCATTAGAGACTGGAGTCGAGAATTTTCATTTATTGCTGAAGAGTCCTAATAAGGATGACTTTCTCCTTAGTGGGCAAAACGCAGAGTGTTTTGAGTGTTGAAAATATTTTTTATCTCTGCTATTTTCTTTCGACGTTATTCAATAATCATTGGTTACTTATGAACCTCTACTAAAGATACCCATAAAATATTTTGCTGAATATCCGAATATCTTCTATATCCTGGGATATAGACGGACATTTGTTGAATATCCATATTGGATATATTGAATATCCACAAAATATATTCTGTGGATATCTCTGTGACTTCTTGTATTTTCTGGAAAATACCCATTAGATATTTTGCTGAATATCCATTAGGATATCTTCTATATCCTGGATATAGACGGACATTTGGATATCCATATTAGATCCACGGAATATTTCTGATATCCTGTGGATATATTGGATATCCACAAAAGATATTCTGCGGATATCTCTGGGATTTGGTGTGTTGTCTGTGTTAAGGAACAAAATAAAATAAAGAATGTCTTTAACGGGCTAAATGCCTATCACTTCATTGCGTTCGGCTGGTCTAAATTAAGTGTTTTCGTTCTCTCCTGGATACTGCAACGGGTGAAATGTGGTACCGTCGACCTCAGTGGCGGCGATATCCTAATTCGCTGACTCTAACAGTACAATTTTATAATAAAACCGGAATATGCATTGTTATTGTTTTATTCTTACTACATGTGTCAAATATACACATTAAATTGTAAAAAATCTTCCCGAAAATGTGCAAAAAAAGACATTTAAAATGTGATTACTTTTAGGTAAGCCTACTGCACCTCGAAGTTCACGAGGAGGTATGTCAAGTGTATCTAGAGTGAGAAAACCTAGACCTCCGGGTTTTTCAAGAAGAGGTGCTTTGGGAAGTAGAAGTATAAGGCAGGTAGATAGGTCGGATTATGAGTTATCTCTCTTTACTCCATCACCAATTGAAGATAACGGGTTTCTGGACCCAGAAACGGGTTCAATCATCTATTCTGATAGAGAAAAATATATTCCATCAATAGAAGATCCGCCATATTTTCCGGAACACTGGCCAGGAAAAGTTTGTGCCTTGTGTAATTTAGGAGAGAGAAGTCAATTGGGGCAAGGAGAACTGTTAAGGTGAATAAATGGGCTGCCTTAGTCTACTGAATTGTGAGCGGGAATGTCTTAATTTTTATTTTAACGTATTTTTAGATTGAACTGTCCAGATGGATTCTCCCCACATAAGGTCGCCGCTGAACAAATATTAGAAAGAGCCTTGCAAGCTCCCGATAAAGAAGCTGGCGACAAAAGTCCTAAAGGTCCTGTAACGTGCAGAAGACAAAAAAGTTTTAATAAATGTAGACACCCTTCCATGACCAGCGAATACATTGACGAATTGACTATTATTGGATATAATGAAGTGCCTGATGTATCTAGCTTGTTTGAACTAAATGGGCAATTTTATATTCACCGAAATTGCGCTTTATGGTCTCAAGGAGTTACCAAAGCAGGTAGGTTTCGAATAAATAACTAGTATTGAATGATTTACCGGTTTCAATATTTTTTAGAAAATTCAGCTTTGTTGAATGTCGGCCCTGTTGTCTTGCAAAATTCTTCCAAAAAGTGTTCGTTCTGTAACCATTACGGAGCAAGCCTCGCTTGCAATAAGGACGAATGTAATAAAATCTATCACTTTCCTTGCGCAACTGCTTCTGGTGCCTTTCAAGAAATTTCATCTTCAGCGACTTTGTGCAGCGATCACTTTGGGCAAGTTGCGCTGCTTAATAACGGTAAGCTTATTGACATCTTTAGAACTTGACATGAACATACATTATTTAAATATTTCACTGATATGTTTATCGACGAGGAAACCGGAAGTGCAATAAAATATGTTAAATTGGACAGTATAAAACTTTTTTCACGAAAAAGTACGTCAACGGTGCATTTTCTCTAAGTTAGCATTCAAAAGATTCCATAAATGACATTTTCCTAATAATTTATTTTATTTATTTATATAAAAATGTCATTTTAAGTTTAGCTTAATTTAATTTAATTTTTTAATTTATTTATTTCACCTTATAAGAAAATTGTACAAAACAAAATTATACAACGTTTATCGTGAAACATATTATGGTAATTATAAAAATTCATAAAAATTATATACCTAAAAAAAAATTTTGAAAAAAAACATACCTAGCAAAAACATAAATTATTAAATAAAATATTCTTCTATGGAATAGCAGTTTTTCTCTAATAAAAGTGTTTTTACATTAGACTTAAAAGTGAAGAGATTACTGTTGTTCTTTATGCCCTCTGGAAGGATATTATAAAATTTACAACCCATATACTCTAGATTCTTTTCAAAAAGTGCCGTACGGTGTCTAGGTATTAGTAATTGGCTTTTGTTTCTTGTGTTATACTCATGAGGTGTTATATATCGACATCCGATATGCCCTTTTCTACATATTTTTTGTCGCAGTTTTATAATTGTATCAATAGTGTTACCAGTTTTTTGATTTAAATACTTTCCAGCATCTCCATGTTTGACATGTGGAAGCATGGGGGACATTGCAAATTTAATGTTTTGTTCTGGTTGTGGCGCCCATTACCATGGAATTTGTGTCGGTTTGGCTCAATTACCAGGTAAACGTTTTTCTAGTAGAAATGTAGATATTATTAAAGAACTTTAAATGCAATATTATAGCGATTTTATTTCAGGAGTACGATCTGGTTGGCAATGTCGAAAATGCCGATGTTGTCAAGTTTGCCGCGTGGTGGGGGACGAATCAAAATTGATGTCATGTGAACAATGTGATAAAGTTTACCACGCTGGCTGCCAAAGACCCATTGTTACTTCAATTCCAAAATATGGCTGGAAATGTCGGGTAAGAATCATGCTTCACCATAATGATTACGAGTATTAGATAATTTTTAATATAGAAGTCAGCTTCACATCACATCAAGCATAGATATTTCAGAGCCGAACAACTTTTGCAGTTTTAGCATAAAAAAAATATACGATTTTAAGCTTATTTTATGGTCACTCAAGAATTCATAGATTACAGTTAATTGCAAAAAAAGTTAAAATAAAAAAGATTGTTTTTATTGTACTATATACTTTTATTTATTTCAGTGTTGCAGAGTATGTGGAGATTGTGGTGCAAGGACTCCCGGGGCTGGCTTATCCTCAAGATGGCATGCCCACTATACAGTCTGTGATTCTTGCTACCAACAAAGAAACAAAGGATTTTCTTGTCCTTTGTGCCACAAAGCTTATCGCGCCCATGCGCATAGAGAAATGGTTCAGTGTTTCAGTTGCAAAAAGTAAGTAATCTGTTTTCACAATATTAAGTAATTATTTATTGGTCAAAATAATAATTTTTTTGTTTAAGGTTCGTCCATGGCACTTGTGACGCCGATGCAGACGTTAATACCTACAATCAAAAGAAAGATATGAATCCTGAATATGAATATGTATGCCTTCACTGTAAACATAGTACTGCGCGCCAAATAACTTCTAAAAGAGCAAGTAAGTTTTCAATATCGCAAACGATATCAAAATATTAATAAAAAAACTTTTAGGCATAGATGATTCATATGATATTTCCGTTTCCCGCGATTCTCTATACGATGATACTTCGGAATTTGATCTCCCGTCGCCAGATGAATTCGCTCGAAATATGGGATTGGGAAAAGGAAAACCTTACAATGCTAGTAAGATAGCTAAAAAACGACTTAGTTTCACTGTTAACAGCGTTGGTAGACCAAAGGGTACTGGAAAAGTACCACCGGGAAAGATGGGATTTATGAAACGATCCCGATTAACAGATTTCAACCGAAAACGAGGACACAAAGCTAAAATGAGGGGTATTTTCGGAGTTCCCGGTGTTGGACTTCAACGACCGATTTCGGATGGAAAGAATGACGAAGAACCGGGCGTAGAGAATCGATTGGTACTTTGTTCCGCCAAAGATAAGTTCACTTTGACACAGGATATATGCGTTATGTGTGGAGCGTTCGGTACTGATCAAGAAGGGTGTTTGATTGGATGCGTCCAATGTGGGCAGTGTTATCACCCGTATTGTATTAATGTAAAAGTCACGAAAGTGATACTACAAAAAGGTTGGAGGTGAGTTTTTGTTTTTAACAATATCTTGTTTATATTTTTTATAATACTATTAGTGATTCAAGCTAAGCGATACGCCCTCTGTAAGCAATTTTATTCAACTATTAAATACGTTAAAATTTCGTTGTACCAACAGAAAACTTGGCATTATTTTATAAATTCAAAACATTTTGTTTTATTTCGGTTTTTAATGTTTTGTGTTTTTTAATTCTCTCCCTATACACTTTCAATTTCATTTGCTATAAATTCGGAAATCTTACCAAACAAAAATGTTTATTAAAACAACCGTTTCTTCTTTGGCCCATTCACAAAACTTCCAACAAGTTTGAAATAACTTTTTACTTCCTAGAACGCTCTCCTCAACTTGTTTATATGCACAAGCGATTTTTCCTGCCTCCATTTTCTTCAATTTTGTGCCTTGCTAAGAGAAAACTCTCATACAGTGTTTATATTACACATAAACTTTTGACAAATTTTCTGGCTTATATAAACGATTCTTAACACATTGTAAATAAACAAGTCGCTTAAGATATTCATTAACATTTTATTTATGTTAATTTTAAGATTGTAGTCATTTGAAAATAAATGACGGTACCCATTGAATGCTGTTTGCATCATTTAAATCGAACCAGTAATAATAGATATATAGACTTTTGGCAATGCTACTATGCATATTTTTTTATTGTAAATGACAACTAAATTATATTTTACATTGAATTTCGTTTAAATCGAACCGATAATAATGGATATATGTGTTTAGGTCCTTTTGGCATGTTTCTTCATTAGATTTTACATATACATATCATTTTACATTCAATGCTGTTCGTCCCGTTCAAATCGACCTAGTAATAACGAAGATTTGAGCTTAAGTCCTTTTGGAAATGTTACTGCGCATGTTCTTTTTATTGTCAATGACGTTTTATATTGAATGCCATTTGTTTCTTTCTATTCGGACCAATGCGCTAACGAAGACATTCGTTAATATCCTTTTCGAGATGCTACTGTGCATGTTTTTAAGACATTTGTCTCCTCTTCATCAATAATTCCACGTCACTTCTTCGTCTTGAGAGAACGCGATGGTTCTACGTTACTTCTTCAGTACCTTTTCTTCGTTTTCGCGTCTAAAGGCTTCTTCAACGTCTCTTGCAGCTGAATATGGTACTATATTACTCTTTCTGCTTCTATTCTTTGTATTTGAGTCCCCGAAGGCTTCTTCAGCGTCTTCAATGATCCTACATCACTCCATCAGCTCTTCTTCTTTATCTTCAAGTCTCCAGAGAATTCTTCCATGTCTCCCTGACTAAAGAACTTGATGGACATGTTACTAAAATGGTTTGATATCTCATCTACTGATTTGGTTACATAATTTTTATGATCTGCAAACAGTATTTAACGAAAACTAAAACCATTTATGTCAAATTTAATGCTAGAATGGTTTGTTTCTGTTAACTGTCAGTGAATTGCAAACTACATCACACTAATATAGCATATTTTTAACTTTTAAAACGAAGGAAGAACGCCTTAAATATCGAATTTATTTTTCAGATGTTTGGATTGTACAGTTTGCGAAGGTTGCGGTCAACGCAACGATGAAGCCCGTTTGATACTTTGCGATGACTGTGACGTCTCGTTTCATATTTATTGCATGGACCCTCCTTTAGACTACGTTCCGCACGGAAATTGGAAATGTAAATGGTGTGCCATATGCCTGTCCTGTGGATCTACCGATCCAGGTTTTAACTGTACGTGGATGAATAGTACCACTCAATGTGGACCTTGCGCTTCGCATATTAATTGCCCGAGTTGCAATGACCCTTACAGTGAAGGTGACCTCATCATTCAGTGTGTTCAATGCGAACGATGGCTACACGGTTCGTGCGATTACATAAAGAGCGAAGAAGATGCCGAAAAATGCGCTGAAGAAGGTTATAATTGTATTTTGTGTCGGCCAAGAGACGTACCGCCTCCGCATTTAATACCGCCACCAATTACGCCTAAGCCTCCGACGCCAACGAAAAGTCCTGAAGTTGGAAGGAGTACAAGTTTTTATATGGACGGAGTTTATCTCAGCGAATTCGGAAATAATCTAATAAAATCTTTGGCTTTAGAATATCATGGATCTAGGAAAAAGCGGAAGAAAATTCCTACCGTTCAGGATAAAGAAGCTGGTATCATGGCAACAATTGAGTCGGTTGTTGCAGGTGGAAATATTGGTCGTAAGTTTCAAAAGATATAGTTTTTATATTTCGTGTATAAATAATTTTCAGTAGTTACATATTATAATATTTTTACAGCTACCAATTTGGACGACAGTGCGAAACTCGAGTTAGTAGACATTAAAGACGAACCACAGGAACTTTACAAGGAAGGTATGACGTGGACCAAAGAAGACGGTCCGCCTCCAGAAGGTTTCGCAGTTGTTACCATGGAAAATGGTGTAAACGTCCTGCGACGTAAAAGACAACGTAATCTTCAAAAGCTCGGCATCGGCGGTTTCTTAGTTAGAATGCGCGGTATTAGAACCGGTCAAGATAACGATGACATCGATCAATCTGTCGGTCAATCTGGATCAATTACCAATGAAATTTCAACACCGTTACCTGGAGACGGCGATAAGCCTAGAAGGAAAGCGATTAGGAGAAAACCTAAAAATAAATTGGCCGAAACATTTCCGACTTATCTTCAAGAAGCGTTTTTCGGAAAGGATCTTATGGATGTGGTCGAATGCAAAAAGGAAGTTGACAGTTATAGCAGTGAAGACGAAAAATCTGATAGTTATTATAAATCTATTAATTTATCACAGGTAAATTACATTTTTAGATTGTTTTAACCAATTTTTTATTCTATTTGATCATTTTGTCTGTTGCAAACCTATTTCCGATCCCCATCAATATCTGATAGGTCGGAATTTAATCCAGAGAAACACAGATTTAACCCTTAAAAATTTATAAGATTTGTTCCCCTTTGATCCAGTCACTATATTAACATTTTTAGGATGAATTGATAGCAGTCGCTGCTGTCTCAGGAAAAAATGAACGACTGGAAAATATCAATAAAGATTATACAAAAGAAATGAAAGTTAACGCCCTAAAAGAAGAAGAAGATGACGACAATACGGAGGATTTGAAAGATGTTCTTGCTTTACCAGGCGATTTACTGGATACAGATTTAGTTAACAGTATTATGGAAGATGATGAAGAACTTACTAAAAATACCGCGTCGCTAGAAGGTTTAGGTAAGTATTATCCATTCACTGTTTATTTAACATCTAGGTGGGTTTGTAAATAATTTATTGGACTTTTTAGATTCGAACTTACAAGATGAATCTGAATTGACAGATACTTTGGGCAGTTCTGGAAATTCAAAGGAAACCAAAGATGAATTGAGCGATATTCTTGGTCCACATTTCAATCTTGATTCTATTTCAAATATTAATAGTAAAGATGTAGAAGATATTTTTAAGGTAAACCTTTAACCATTTTTAAATTTTATTAAAATGTTTCTACATTTATAATTATTATTTCCAGGGTGTACTGACTGACGAGTCTCAAGAATCGCAAGAGAGCAGCAATTTTTCTTTGCAAGGCAATAGTATTTTTACTAATAATAGCAGCCAACAAAGCATTGCTCAGCATTCCATTATAAATCAACCAGTTAGACCGAAAACCTTGCCTAATGTTAATCACGTTAACCTCAATTCGCCTGTTAGTTTTCCACCACCATCACCGTACCATTCAGAATATAGCAAGTAAGTAAATTTCTAGTATAATTTAGGGTTTTCTTTGAAAGCAGTAAAAATTCGTCACTTAGAATTAAAAAAATAAAAAAGTCTGCTGGTATAGAAAGTTTTTGAAATTTTTGGTGCTCTCTTACATAAAATCACTCATATCCTGAAAACAGGGAGAGTATCGATTGTTTGAAGGGCTGGGAAGAAAATTGAAAATCTGTTACAAGCGTTGGCGATTAATTAAAAGTTTGGGTCGAACATTATCAATTGTTAAACATGAAATTCAAGAAATAAAAAAAACTTCTTTATTAATGATCGCGAAAGAGTCTAATATTCATATTCGTATTTTCCAAACTTCTTTATATATCTTTAAATTTATTATTTCTTTTCTTAAAAATCAACAAACCATCTTGTACTACAGTTCAACAAGCCCTAGGCTGCCCAATTTGCAGAAACATCATAAAACGTCAATATCTCATTTCTCAGTTACTTGTCATAGTGAATAATACAATATGGTGCAAAAGTTATTACAGAAAAAGTAAATTCATGATAAAAATGGATATCTGCATATTTTATTGCAAAAATAATAAAAAAATCAAAAATAAAGTTTGATGGCTAATTTTATCAAAGCAACTTCATAAATAAATGCAAATTCTTAATAAAATATGGCAGTTTTAATAATCTATATTTCCATCTATTGTCTCAATGCAAGCACGAATTCATTAGGGCAACCTTACTTTGAGATTATCGATTTCTTCCTGAGGAAGACCCCTTCTTTCTTCAAAAACTGCTTGAATCAGCAGTTATGTGTTACACGAGTTATTTTCGTGAGCTCTAACTCTTCTTTTTACCCTATTCTACAAATGCTCAATGAGATTAAGGTCAGGCGAACAAACAGGCCAGTATAATACTCTGGCACCCTCTGTCGTCACGACATTTTTTATGACTCTGTTACAATGCAGTGAGGTATTATTCTGCATAAATAAAAAATCCCCTCCAAAGTTTTATTAGGTGATGTAGCACCAAATCTACATATCTTTGTACAGTTAAAGTTTGTTTGCATGGGAATTTCCCATAGCATGATCATACCCCCAAAAACCTTACTGTTGTCCCTTTATATTTCCAAACAGGTCGGGCAGCTTGAAGCCTGGCTTGTCTTCCACGGCTTCTTAAGACACGGATTCGTCGGTCATCAAATCTAAGTCCAATCCTGGGTTCGTCCGAAAATAAGACGTTGTCCAGTTTTGGTACTCCCAAATACCTAATTAATCAATCGCTTTTGTTTTGTCTGGATAACTGTAAAACTCTAAGAATTTTTCTAATCGTTTTTGTTTGTATGTATTTTTTAAATTTAATTTAAAATTAGTAATAAAATCGATATTTCTGTTAATATTTGGTGATTATTAGAAACATTTTTTTAAACTCGTACTGTGCGATTTTCAATAACTATTAAGAACTACCACTCTTGTTGAGTTGTAATTATACTGTTTTTGATTAATAAGTATTTCAATAATAATTGGACTTGCCCCCATACTAGTTAACACTTTTCAAACTCGATCCAGATTTTTCTAAGTGAATACTCTATATTTCTTATGTTTTCTAGTAGTCCACAATTTAGTCCAGCATTTACTGAATCGCCCAGCGCTTGGGTGGGTGTAACTGAAACTCCGGAAATTGATAGTACGAATGTAGGAGTACCTTCGACGTATAATCAACGTTCTTCTGAAAAAATGAAAGCTGATGAGAGTTTGGGCAATGGAGCCACCATTTCCGCTGTCCTATATGCCAACATAAATCACCCAGAATGGAAGAAAGAGTTCCCGAATTGGTCAGATAGGTAAGTCATGTATATCTTAACGTTTGCTTTGATTATGATATAATTATTGTTAAAAGTGGAATTTCATTAATGTGTGAGAAGGCAGAAAGTGCCAATCCATTTAAAATATCAATTATATTCTGTATAAAGAACAAAAAAATGTAACTTTTTATTACTCGTAACTCATTAAGTAACATATTTTAAAAGGTACAAACATATAATAAAAAAATGGAGAACGTTAACTCAAGAACAGAAAGCACCTTTTCTTCAACACGCAAGAGACAATCGTAGTCAGCTAAGAATGAAAAAAGCTCAACAGGTAAAGTATTTATTTTTTAATAATATTATTAAAATATTAAAAATGTTCTCAAATTAGTTTCAAAAATAAGTGTTATTCAACAATAAGACACTTTGTATTGTAATTTTCACGATTTCTTTTTTATTGTAATTATTTCTAAAAATAGTGTTTATACAGGGTCCGCAAAAAAGTCTATTTATACCAAATATAGCGAACTTTATTATTGATTTTTACATTAAAATCTATTATTGATAAAAGTTGGTCTAAAGCAAAGTGTAATTTATCAAAAATAAAAATTCAACATTCATATATATGGTCAAAAACAAATTAAATTGAAGAGGAAAAATAATTGAAAACTTATTTAGATGTAAAAAGTACATTGAAATATTAAGTCACAGTCGTATTTCTTGAAAAAAATATGTGATTTTCCAAATACAGAAAATTTGTCTGATATTGACAGTGTCTTAACTAGGAAGTTGCCGAAGGGGTGTCATCGAGATGACAGTTATAAAAAAATACTATAGGTGTACAATTAATACTGCAGTTTTGGCGCTTAAATACAAATAAATTGTCGAAATCGGTCTTAACATCGAAACTAGAAAGATAAGCGAGTTAAGTTTTTTAATGATGATTGCTTCGTGAAAAGAAATATGTTTTATGGTGGTTTCAGGTCGGATTCCCAGACACTTGGACGAAAGTGGATCTCTTACGGGTAGGGTTATAGATATTATTTATTAGGTGTCGTAAATAAGATTACATTATCTGGGAGATTTTTCACTAAATGAAGGATTTTGAATTTAATAAGAATGCAATATTATATTTAATAAATGGAATTAATAAATTATTAAGGTACCTGGGTGAGGTAGGTTACAATACTTTTTCTGAGTTGCTTCTCAAAAAAAAAGGTCAAAAATTGTCAACAATTTCTAACTAGATATGGACGCATTCAAGGTTTTTGTAAATGGAATGCCAAGTTATTTTCAAGATAGCCAAGATTTATTGATCAACATAGCAGAAGGTTTGATATAATTTCAGAGGCCAAAGCAACTGCAACACTAATTTTCTCTTCATCCATGATCAGTACACAAAACAAATATTTATTTTTTATCCTTACAAAATCAGAACCAAATCCTAACTACAAACAATAATTCGCAATATCTTACAATGTCATGCGCATTGTTAAGTTACTGTCAATATAAACCAAACATTTTTAAATCAGGTTAATAGAACGTCATTATAATGATGTAAGAACCTTGAACCCTTTCTAGTAACTGATTTAAAATCGCCTTATATAAGTCAATGATCCTGATGCCAGAGTTTTAGTTTTATGATAGACGTTGTTCATGTTCGTTGTATAGTTGAATTTAAATTGAGTTCCTAAAAACCAGCGTAACAATATGTTTATTAAACAAAAAATATTTGATGTCCTCTACCATCCCTAAAAGTTTGTCGATATATTTAAAGAACACCCTGTATATTTCGTGTAGTTTTAATTCTGAACAATTTTTTCGATGTCAATTTTAAGGGTACTTGACTCTTGAGCTGTATTTACGTCTATAGCTGATAAATTGTCATAGATAATTGCATTTAAGAGCCACTTTTATCGAGATTACTATTGTTTTAAAAATCAATAATAAAAAGTTTTCCATAAAGTGCAGACTTTTTTGACTAACACTGTAGTTTTTGATGGTAAAAAAGCCTTCTTTTATTAAAAAACTCATTTAACAATGTGTGCGACTGATATTACCAAACATTTTTTTTATTAAAAATACAGAGTTTTGTTTCTAGAATTTACATACTAAGCTCTTCTATAACTATAGTAATATTGCATACTTCCGACGGTTTAAATAGATTCCAAAATTACGTTTTCTGATTTTACCATTATTTTTTTGCTTTATGGTTACCATTTTTTGTTAACATATTGAAGCATGCTCGTTTGAGCTTTGATGGTTTGTAGGATTGTAACTAACAATTAAATGTATTCTGTTTATAACTACAAATTTTAAACATGACATTTTAACACAAGAAGTTTGAATATAAGATTTTATAATTTCATACTACTTGTTATTATTTAATTTTATTTCTGAATTAAATTTATTATATCCTAATGATGTATATAAATTGTTTTTCTACATTTCATCAAAACAAAAACATTTTTTATTCATATCATTTAATTTGTAGCGAAATTTACAATTTTTTTTTGTTGATATATTAATCTATTCATTTTAGATGTACATTCAAACATTTTTAAAATATATATAAAAAAAACATATCTGATCTCACCAAATAAGATGTAAATAGTAAATAAATATACATGTTTCACTCACTTTAAGGTTTTTCGATGTTTGTATTTTATTTATTTACTAGTTATATACATGCATACATAGTGTTGAAAATGATTGTAATTTTTTACATTTCCATATTTACAAAGTCTTAGAAACTACAAAATATCTTTTAAAATCTATATTGAAATGAAAGGATATCATTTTTCTAGTAAAAATAGATTATTAAAATACTTATACAGGGTGTTTCATTAGAAAACAAAAATACGTTACCAGTAAATAGAGAACACGGAGGTGGTTCTAAATATACAGGGTCTTACAGTCTCTAAGACCGGGATATTCGGTATTTATTCCTGGTACTTTCACCTATAGATAGATCAGCTTTTATCTGTAATTATCCTATAGATAAGTTAACTAGAAATCGTTATCTAAAAGATAACTTGTAGAAGTTCTTTTATTTTGAATTATCTGATAGATAAGTATATGAGGAAAGTACTAACAGACACAATATGTAAGTAAATGTTTCCATCTGACATCAAAGTAAGAGATATGATGTATGTATCATAATATGTCAGTCAAGTGACAATTCACGGAACTATTTTGTATTATTTCAAAGTCAAATCATTTCAGTAATAGTTCGTTTTATGTATGGAAGAAACATGAATTTTATTCTTTTAATTTTCAGTTTTTTTAGTTTATTGGATAGATTATATTGTTTTATTAACTGTTTATTAGTGTGTGAATTCGTGTTGTTTTTTATTATTATCGGTTTTATTAAAAATGTCAAACACCAACAGACAGTAAAAAAATATAATTTATCTTTTCAGTCTAACAATAACCAATATTTACGTAAATAAACAAATAAAAAACACAGTACACTTATCAAATGCAAATAACAAAGATTTTGTTACTATAGCTTGCACATACTCTTGATTTTTGTTTGTCAAATAAATAATTTTCCATTGGTAATACCTCCATATAAATTTTCCTGGGGTTTAGAGGTTTTAATTGGTAAATATGGCTATCTGAAGGTGAAAGTACAATATTTTCTGTTATCGTTTAGATACCATTCAATATAAATTACTTTATCTGTAGGTGAAAATACTCAGTCTTAATCGATTTTGCTGATTTATTTTTAGAGTCATAACTAACCAATCATTCTAAATATGTTTTTTATATTTGATACAAAAATGTTTTCCTTCTACTGGCTAACCAACTAACGTACTATATAGCCAGCAGAAAAATTAACCTAACATCAATAAACACACATATCAACGTACCTACATTGTTTGATTCAGTTTTTTTTTTGTAACCTTTTCAAATATGTAAACGAATTTTGAAAATTCTGATAAAAATGGTGTTGTTTTGAGAACACAATAATTCATTGATTTGTTGATACCCAGACCTGGATTATTCTTCTTGGTAGTACGTCGGTGGTTAGGCTAGTGGAAGAAAAACATGTTTACCAATTTTTAAACAAAAAATATTTGCGGTGATTCGTTAAATATGGCCGATAGAAAGAAGTATGCAAAATCGATAAAACTTTCTGTGTCTTATAATCGCCATAAAGACTGTAAGGCAATTAAATAATAAATATTGTTGATTTTATTTATAATAGAACACACTGTATCATGTTTTTTATTGTTACTTGTTTTTGAGAATTTTTAAAACGTTTTATGCAAAATTTTGAATAGGAATCCTATAAATTGGACACTGTTTAAAAAAAATAATAATAATAATAATACAATGTACTAATTCTTAAAAATCATAATTTTATCTGATATACATCTAAAACGAATATATTATACTCTCTAGTCACAGACCTCCAAGGACTCTACCTCTGCTACCACGCCCCCCAATGTGACCAAGCCGCTTCATGCCGCCCCAGCCCTAGTGACCACCCTCCAGGCAGTAACACAGCAGACCGTGGGGGTTTCCATAGCCCCCACGGCTCCCGTTTCAGAGGTGTGCACTCAAACGAGGCCAACACTAACACCAGCTTCCGTTAGCTCTGTGTCTGTGACCACCCCACCTCCTAAACCTCCCTCTCCCACTACCCATCAGCAATTTACCGTGCACGGTAATTTCGCTGGCCCAGGGGATCATGTGGGTCCCGCACCTAATGTTACAGTCAATCCTCACTATCAGCCTAATAACGAAAGCATTCCCCACCCCAGATTAGTTCCTCAGAGTAATGCATCAGATCAGCAAATCCGGGTACTGACTCCCTCAGAAATCATGCGTACACTTCCTTCCCTCTATCAAGAAAATTATGAGCCTCAGGGATTGGTGAGAACCTGTATTCGGTGTGAAATATGTATTGATTATTTTCTTTTGTTTTGACATGCTTCTGCGAGTAGGTGTAATGGTTGACAATCGACATGTTGTTACTATACATTTAATTTTGATTAAGCAATGAATATATATAAATTTTTCACACCTTTCAAATATAAAATAAGTTATAAGAAGCCAATATATACTTGATTATAATTTTAATTTTGATACATTAGAAAACATTTGCGAAATCGAAACATTTTATATCAAATCAAGGCCAATCCATTTTTAAAAATTCTAAATTTCACAGTTTGGTTACTGTAATTATTATTTTTTTATTTACCATTTAATATTATTCATAGTTAAACTTTGATAGACTTTCCACCTTGTTATGTCCATTCAGAAATATATTTATTCCTTAAACATAGAAAATAGCCATTTTCATCTAAAAAATCTACAAGACTATCTTCTGTTATTTTGTTATCTCTTATACCTACTCTCTAAAATATGTTCTCAATGTTTATATGCTCATAATTATATTTTTATTATATTTCGGCTGATTTTGTGTGGGCATGCGTTGCGTTTATATATATATTTTTTGTAGTACTTTTAATTTGTTGATTTTTTTGAGCATTCCATTTCTTTACAAGTATCAATGATAGTTATTGAGCTTTTACAAAATCAATCGGGCGGAATGGGCGTTGTATTAACTGTACAGGGTGGGTCAGGTTTAAAGGACTCTAAACAGGGTGTTATTGAAATAAATGTACATATAAAAAGTGTGACATAAATGTTAAATGTCCAAAAACGAATGGCTCTAATCTTGTTGAATGTGCAGGCACAGTCACGGTCACAATTTTAAGATACATAGTGATTTGTTGCAGAATTAGATTGAATATGTTGCATTTGAAAAATTAAAATATTTTAGAATTTGATGCAGAATCGAATATTTTATAGTCCTAAAATTAAATATTTAAAATACATTTTACAAATTATTGAAAAGTAGGTTTCTTACGAGATGCATTGATACTTCCAGGTACAATACAAGATATTTTTGAATTCTAAAAACTAAAAAATGTTTAATAAAACTAAGGGAAAAAATAGTAAACAATCAATAAAATTAACATACAAATGTTTAGATAATGCTAGGCCTTTAACAACTAGAACTAGAAAGTTTTAAATACACTCTACATCTCGACCAATGTCGATCTTGTCTAGTCAGTAGTACCACTTAAAACTCAGTTATCACTATAGACGGCTAAAATAATTCAATAACTTCGTTAAATGTCGCACGGCTCCATTGGCCATTTATTAGTTTAGATTTATAGCTGTGCAGTTTACGTTAACGAACCTTAAATCTAAAGCGCCAGTATTGAAGGCGATTTGGATGATTTAATACGTAAAGTGCTTTTACTGGTTTGAAACAAAATTTTTAAAAATATTTTTTTTATTGAGAGGTATCTAAGATTGTGTAACTTGTTTAAAAAATACAATGTGCAGTAACATAGACGTACAAAAACGAATTTTTAATATTTTAAAACATTTAACAAAAATGAAACATAAGTATGGAAATTGTAAACAATATTTGGCAATACTATGCTGACTTAACTACTTCTTGACCTAGATTTGTAATTGACCTATGTTAAATTCAGTGGCATACACCTGATTTATACATTCTAGGGGAACCGAAATATTAATTTGTATATGTATTTAAATAACACCTTGTATACAGTTGAAGTATGTAAAGTTCCTTATGACTCGTCCTGTACGATTTGGATCAAGCTAGTAAATAAGTACTGCGAGATTCATGGATTTTCTACCTGTATATAGCCACTCGCGGATCAATATTAAAAAAATAAAAATGCACTAATTAAGAAAATCCAGAAATATATTCAGTAGTAGTTTCGGTGCGATAAAGAAACATGAACAATCCGAAATAGGTACTGATCTAATTAAATTGGGAATGCTGTACATGTTTTCTATGTAAAGCCTATATTAAACATTTGGATAGACTTGTTTTGAATGTATCCAATATCCAAACATTTTTTTGTTATCCATTTATCCTTATCCAGTACCTACATAATCAGATATCAGAGCTATTCTGTATTCGTAAAATTAACCTTATTTTAATATTAGTGTTTTCTTTTTTGGATATGGTAATATCTGTGTAGATATATATATTTTCTAACACAGTTTTTCTGCAAAATATATATTAGTGTTAAGTAGACAGTAAGATGAGAAATGTTCCATTAGAAATAAGTTCTCATGCTTACTAGTATACTTTCCTCTAGCATGTTTTTTATTTGGTTGTGTTTTCTTGTAAAGTGGTGTTTGTCTTTTTTATATAATAACAAAAGCTTTTTTGTAGATATTTGCTGTAAAAATGCATAACGAAAACAATTTTTTATTGACGATTATCGTCATGTAAAAAAAAATATTTTTTTAGGATCAAGAAAAAATTGCGCTTCAACAAAAATCCGCTAGGGAAGCTGAACAGGAAAGGCAGTGGAAGCAACTTCAGGCTTTGAGACAGCAGCAGACTCAACAACAGCAAAATATTATACACGAACAGCGTGTACAAGGTAAATAAATGATTTTATCCTTGGAACATTGTTGTAATATAAAAAAATGAATATAAAATGAAAAATAATATATATGATGGTTCAGCTAACATTTTCAACATCATCAGAATAACTTCGTCTAAAGATATTTGCGGTAGAAATAAAATGGAATTTACATAATTAAAATTATATGTAGATATTAACCTTTTCCAAAATTATTCTAGGCTTGATTGTTAAATCAATCTCACATATACCCATTGCAATGAAATTTCCGTTGCACGTCATCAATGATGAAAATTGTTTATCAAATTGAATGGATACATCATTGCTGTTAGTCGTATTTGTTGCTTTTCAAGTTTGAAGTGGGCAATTGGTATATATCATGGACAGTTGGCAAATCAATATTTCTTTTTATATCATGTATAATTAAACTGTCAACAGTATTATTTTTGTGTTTAATTAACAAATTTATTTTTTGATTTTTAAATTGCCTAAACATTTAAATAGCCGTGCGAAATAATTAGTGGGGTCTCTAATAAGATATTTTGAAGACCAATAAGATAATGGTGTCTATTTATTACCAATAAATGCAGGCGGAGAGCGTGTAGCAGGGGCGTTGAATTTGAATATTTCCCTTAAACATTCGATTTGGTTTCTCAAGTTTCGAGATAGGTCTCGATATGGCCAGCGCTAGACTTCCTGTCGCGGGTACGGTAATAAACAAAGAACAGGGTTGGCTTGCGCGACAATATCTTCATACAACAATGAGAGTTTCTATATTGAAGCGCTATTGCCGTTTCGATATCAAATATTTTTTTAATTATACATACCCAAGATTGTGAAATTTCAATAAGACAAGAACGGCATATGCATATATTTAATGCCTCGGTTCATTATACACAAGTTGTGACAATTTATTGTCTATTCCAGTCTAAACGGAAAATTTTTGTGGATACTGGCAACGATCCAAACATAAATGCACGATTAATTTTAATTTTAATTCACGCATGGTGTTGCTGAATGGAAAATCTAAAATTACCCAACTCGAAATCTCAAAATTATCGCATTCTCCAATCTTGCTTCAAAAAAAAGGTACCAGTTTTTCCAACCCTCAGTAAAAAAAAATCTCGATTTACCTGGTTCGGAAAAAAGGTCTAGTCAATAGAAATGAAAATAAATTCCAAGAAAATGAGGGATAATTGGCCATAATACTACATATATTTCAATAATACTCTGTCTCTCTATAACTTTGTAAGAAATCAGTCCTGAGAATGTTACCTGAATAATCTTGTATATAAAAATGTTTTTTTTTTTTAATTATAAGTATTTCATATTATTTACATAGACAATTGTACAGCTATTGCAAGAGTGCAACGCCAGATATCCACAGATCCGACTCAACAGTTTTTGACAGAACAACAAAGTCCTCTTCAAGTCAATACTCCTCAAGAACTAAGTCCGTCTACCACTCCGACGACTCCAAGTCCAAGGCAGTTCCTCGGCATTAAGTCTCCAACATTTCCTGTTCCTTCCTCCGTATCGCAGAGCTCTGTCCGATCTACCACTCCTTTGCAATCTCCTCATGACATTTCACAACCCGGTACCCCAGATGGTAACGATCCTTTTATTCAATCACCCACTATTCCTAAACCTAACTTTCAACCTAGGTTACCTAATGATCCATTTGCTCAACAACCAGCCACGCCTAGACCGCAGTTCGGACTTTCAAGGCCACAATTACAGGTATTTACATGTAACACTATTTTTAAACGAGTTATTTCAATTGTTTTTCTTTTACAGAACTTCGGAGGCGCCATCCGAACTGACCAACAAGACCTTAATATCAATCGTCAGTTGAGGGACTTATTACAGCGTCAACAAGTGAAGAAGTTAGATGAAATACCGGGAAAACTTCAACAGCAGAGAGTATGGCATCCGGTGGAACAGCAACAAGAAAACGAGGCTTCTATAACGGCTCCTACTTCTACCTCAGCAGTTAGTACTGTGGCTTCCATGTCGGATGCAACGTTTCGTCAACCGTTACCTCCTAGTATCGTGAAACCGAGACTAGCACTTTCATTAGCTGGAAGGACGGCACCCAGTGCTGTGAGAGTAAGCCAGTTGGATCCTAGAATGCAAGGATTGGATCCGAGGATGAGATTAATTCTGCAGCATCAAGTAATAATATATAATGTTTTTGTAATAACTAAAATAATACCAATCTTTACGGGATTGTTTAATAATACTACATTCAAAAACTAAAACATTTTTTAGTCTATGATTTAGAAGGCTTTAGTAGCATTTAGGCATGAGTCACACTGTTGTACTAACTTTTTGTATTCCCTAAATGCTATCTCGGCGTCCGAATTGAACCGTCGGTCTTTAATGCGCCAAAAACGTGGAAATCACATGGAGACCTGTCGGGACTAAGGTGGATGTTCTAAGACTTCGCAGTTCACACAAATAAGCAGATCTTGAATTATTTGAGCTACATGCAAAAGTGTGCTTTTCGGGACGTTTATTTTTGTGCCGACTCAATGTATTCCAAATAATTCAAGATCTGCTTATTCGTTTGAAGTGGGAACACTTACAAACCTTAAAGTACTTACTTGTCCCCATGCGATTTTCATGTGTTTGTTCCATTAAAGATATTACTTAAAAGAAGGATCCACTAAGTCACAAGAATTTTACCAATTATAGATCAAAAGTTATTAAAGATTTCTTTTAAAATCGTTAAAAAATGTTTTTCAGTCTTTAAACGTGTTTCTATTGAACAATCTTAGTACTTACGAATTTTTAGCAACAGCAACCATAATTCTGTGGTCGGCGCTTAAAAGGTAATAAGTCAATATTACACATTTTTAGAGAATGGCGCTGGAAAATTTTGGGACATATGAATAAGGATTTTTAAAATCCAAATCGACGATCTTTTTAGGACATTTGGTCCTGTAAAAATTAAAAAATATGTAGAAATATTTTGTTTTAAATATTTTATGTTACAAAATTTGACTGTTTATGTTCAATTATTACGTTTTGTCTTTCGCGGTTACCCTTGTATTATTATATATGTTTTTTGTACCTTATTTTTATTACTTTACAACGTATGTAGACTTAGATTCTTTTAACTGCTTAAAATATACACTCTTTTAAACGTATCTTGACTAAAAACTCCATTTTCGTAAAAAACGACTTATGACCTTTTAAGCGCCGGCCACAGAATTATTGTCCACTACTAAATAGTATTTTTCTTTAGCAACAAAGATTAGCTACCGGAATTCAACAGCAATTCATTCGTTTCACCTCTAACGCACGTCCCACTACGGTAGAACAATATGAACAACTTCTACAAAGTAATAATCCTGGTCAAATTCATTCTGACGAACAAGTCATACCTCGAATGCCTCTTAATCAAGCGAGCGTTATACAGAGACCACAAATCTCTCAGTCTGCTCCGACAAGCACGCCAACAATCTCTAATACAACTGAAAATAACCCCAGCGAAGAAGGAATTCCGGATAATGTTACAGCGGAGTTAGAAAAATTAGAGCAAGAAACAGGTAATCTATTTTGTAAGAACCAGTTTGAGTTAGGCTTTCCAAATTATGTCACCTTTTGAGTTAAAATGATAGAGTTAACAAATAGTTATTTGGAAATAGCCACATCAAGGGGCTGTGGAACCAAATATCGGCAAATTTTGACAAAAAGCGACGATAAAAATATATCATGCTTACAATACGTTGCTATTGCAGCCATCACATCATTAAATAAACAAAATTGTATGATTTCCCACCTTTTCTTCTTAAACGTTTCTGTAGAGTGCTGCCTTTTCGTTGCACAAATTTAAATCTCTCAATATAGTCAAGACCCATAATATCACGAAGTATTCTCAGTGGCACGCTAAGGATATGACTTTAAGCTTTGTCATTTACTAGGACTGCCACATAGTGAAGGGGGTCTAAAGGATGACGCATATATGCAGGTAAGAAAGTATGCAGTGCAACTGAATCACTACGGGCTAAATCTGGATCCTTACACATTAAAAGACTAATATCAATTATTTATAACATGTATAAAAAAGTATTGCATGGCAAACTGATTGACATTTTGAGATTTTGTGAGTTTTACTAGTTTTGGTACTAACTGGCACCTTGAGATTGCCGGGATTGAAACTAACCTTGAATTTCAACATTAAATTTCAATGGGATTTTAAAGGGTGCGTGTTTAAAACTATATCTAAGTGTTTAACTGTTCCGCAAAAAATGGAGATTGTCGCCTTTGGTTCTAGACTCCTCAATTATGCAAACAAATGTTTTTGTGTGTAAGGCAACCATATTGAATTTTTTTGACAGGACGTTGGAAAGCCTAATAATTTTTATTTACCCTGTTGACATTAAGCTTATGAATTTTATTCAAAATAGGTACCATGGTTGAACTTCAGGGTGTTAGTGACATATTAGGTGGACTGGACGATGACGACGAACTTTTGGCTGAGATGGGTGCAGATTTTAATATCTTAGAGTATGCCGATCCGGAATTGGAAGCTCTCACGGGTGGTAAAACGAACATCCTGGATTTGGAACTAGAAGAAGAACCAGTTAAAAAAGAAAAAGTAGTAGCACCAAATGCAAAGGAATCCCCTTCTAATTCTATCTCCGCTAAAAGCGATGCGAACGTTGAAACTAAAATTGAGAATAATGTGCAACAATCCATTCCAAAACCAGTTCAAAATCCGTTACCTCCATCATCGTCTCATCAAATTATTCAGCAGCAAAATATTGCTCAACATACTACTTCGATGCAGGCTCAACAGCAACCACCACATCCACAGCAACAAGCACCTCATCCACAGCAACAAGCGCCACATTCACAACAACAAGCGCCACATTCACAACAACAAGCACCTCATCCACAACAACAACAAGTACCTCATCCACAACAACAACAACAACAACAAGTACCTGTACAATCAACTATACAGATTCAACAGATTCATCAGCAAATGGTCCATCAAGTAAGTAGCTAAATTTAGATAATTTGCTGTTTTTATTCATTGAGTCCTCTTTTTTTAGGTACAACAAGCTGCTGCTCAAGGTAGACCAATGCCTCCAGGATCAAAAATGCAAACAACCGACGGGTTTGTAGGTATTGTCATGGCAAATAACACCGTACAATTGCAAATTCCCCAAAATTACCAACAAAGATTACTCGTGTTGCAGCAGTGTAAGTTTTTTCATAATTACATTTAATATGTGTGCACTATTCACTGAGGGATGAATCGCTCCAGAAATTCTGGTATATGTTCACTCGAAATTTCGTTGCTACGGAGATTCCGCAATTTATTTATTTAAACGGGCATACACCCTTTTACAATATATATACATTTATAAAATAATAAAGTATCAACTTAACCTAACTAAAATAACAAAAAAAAAAACAATTGAAAGGTAAAATTAAAAATAAATTAAAACAAAAAACAAATCATTAATACATCTTCTTATAAATAAAAATTCAAGGTTTAAAAGTCTTACAATCGTTTTGTAGTCGTAAGTACCCTGTGCGTATCCCATTCTGTGAGCTCAGGTTCTCAGAAACCGATTTTGAACAGCTTCCAGTCTTTGGATATGCACCGAATAATGCGAAGACCAAACAACAGATGCATATTCAAGTGTGGATCTAACATAGTAGGCTAAGAATAAGGTTCATAATGCTGCAATACTCAAGTCTTTAGAGTTTCTATTAATAAAACCAAGTAACTGTAGTGATTTTGAAATGACTGAGTTTATATGAGGAACAAAGGAAAGATTGCTATCAAATACAACTCCTAAATCACGGATTTCTTGAACTTTTTGTATTGGATTATTATCTAAAGTGTAATCAAAGGTAATTGCTGTTTTAAGTTTACAGAATGTCAAACTGTAACATTTATTAAGGTTCAATAGCATATCGTTATTTAAACACCAATTACATACTATATCAATATCACTCTGTAGTAGAATACAATCTTCGAGTTTATTTACCTCAATATACAATTTAAGATAGTCAGCAAATGAGAGGAACTTACAGAACTTAATGTTGTCATATTAATCATTTACAAGCAAGTTAAATAAAATTGTTACGGAAATCCCGAAATCATGGCCAAAATCCTGAAATCTTCACTGAAAATCATTATATTTTGCGCGCTAAAATTAACATTATGTGAGAAATCGATCATTGTGATCCAGAATGACTGGGTGAGCTCCAGGTTGACATTAAGAGAGATGCCCGTCTAAAAAATAATGCAGCAGGTGACTCAACAACAAATGAGACGAATCCAACCTCCTGGAGCCCGGCAGCAACCCCCTATTTTATTTTTAAGCATGGTCACATCATATGAAAGATAATTTTATAGGGAATTCAGCATATGACTATTCATTGCGTTACTTTTGATTTCCGCGCCCTCTAGCGAGATAATTATTACGTATTGTAAAGTATGATACTTCATTTGAAAGCTTGTTTTATTAGCGATTTAATGCAAGGCAAAAACATTGTTTTGGTTGATTGAGGTTAAAGTTTGTATTACTTAACATTAGAGATTTGCATTTTCAATTGTTTAAGTTTATTTTTCATTAAATTATGTTTTGTTATATTGTGCCATTAAATTACTAATAAAATTAGCTTTAAAATGAAGTTTCACACTTTGATTTACATTTTGACCTTAGCGGTTTATCCTTCGGTGTGTTAAGTTAAATTTGATTGGGTTTTATGATCAATACAATTGATAAAATGTTGTATTTAGTACAAAATCAGAAATTACAAATGAGGATTGGAGGCAAGCCATCTAGAGCGGCTTTGCAGGTTGGTCAGAACCAACTTTCTGTAGGTCTGAATTCGGGTCCACCTCGAATGACAGTACCGGCTCCACCGCCCCCACCTCCGCCATATCCTGGTCCACCGCCGCCTTATCCTGGAAACGCGAATCAGCACCAGCAGGTAATGTTAACAAAATAGCTAATGAAGCATGAACCTTTATTTTTCATTGTGTATGTCATTATTAAACATTTAGCATTAGCAGTTTTATTTTGCATTCTTAGTTAATATTTTTTTATGGATTGATGTCCGCAAAATTGAAAATTCAAGTACTAAGTATTGTTAAGAATTCAAGCGTCTTGCGGTCAAAATTGTATTAATGGGCTAGCATATTTACTTAAATCTTAAATCATATTTTTTGATCTAGTTTAAAAACCAACCATCAGTATTTAATTTCAGAATAAAATATAAACTTACTTTTTCACAAAACTTAAAAAATAAAATTATTCTAATACAATGCAATTTTCATAATATATTTGTACAAGCAGCAAATACAGGCACATATCAAAAATTGACAAGAGTATAGGACGATTAAAAACAAATGGCACCTATTTTAACGTTTAATTCAAAAATTAAATTTAAATGAAATTATTCTATGCTTGATTAACCAACTTCAAATCTATAGCGCTCAGTTCAGCATTGAAAGTGGTTTGGGAACCATAAACATAAATATTTTATAATTACCTAGTTTAAAAGTTGATGTTTCTAAATTCATGGAAAAAAAATTTCTTGTTGAAAATAAGGGGCAGGTTCTATAACAAAATTTTATTTAGATATATTTGGAACCCTTTAATCTTTAAGCCTGCCCATGCCCACTTAAGTGGATTAGAATTTTTTTTTTTTTTGGAAAGAATGCAATTCTAAGGGAAAACATTCTTATTCTTAGCGTACGCCTGAATTATCATACATTTTAAAAATTTCATTACTTCATTAATAGATAATTTTTTGAATAATAATTTTACCCATTCTAGTAGATTCTAAATTTTAATGTTTTAATATCTACGTGTATTTGAATAACACTCTGTATACTTTAATGATTTGCTATATTTGTGAATTTTATTTGGATTAATTTACTACTTAAGTCATTAGTATGACTGTAAATTTCGTCATATCTTTAGATATTAAATAAACAATGATAGGAAATAATTAGTACCAGGTTTAAGAAAGACTTGCTCCTAATTTTATAGGATTTGTTTTTATTTCAAAGTAAACTTATTACTTTTTATTTTTATGATACATTTTAAAGAAAACTGTACATTTTAATAGAAAGTTTTGTAGAGAATAATATAAATTTTTAATCAATATCCCACAGCTGGATTTTTCTAATTTTGTATTCATAAATATAGTAAAGTAAAGTTATCATCAACCCTAATTTTGAGTAGTTTCTCCCCTTCATAGTAGTTTTTAAAATACTATAAGAATATACCATAAAAAATCAAAAGATAATTAAACTGGACAAAACACAGAAGGTACAAAATTTTGAAGAAATACATTCACAAAGGTGCCACATTTTATATAATAGGCTCAAAGATATCGACATTTTAATAAATTGATGAAGAATCAGTATATTTTTTAAAACCCTGTATCTCGGAAACGAAGCTTTTTCAGACGTATATGTGTATTAAGCAAAAAATATTTATTTTGATGTCCGCTACCACCACTAAAAGTTTGTCGGTATATTTTTGTCATGGTTAAAGAACATTTAAAATACAATAAATTAACCAACAGTGTTCACTATATTAATTTACAAGTTCTGTGTAAAATGTGCATGGAGAATAAGTACATTTCTGGGGTAGACTATTTTTGTATATTTATTAAAAAAAAAAAAATTGATGATAACTTTTGATAACTAACGACTAATTTTTTTGTGTGATTTATTTATTTTTTTATTTGAGTTTATTACTAACGAGGTTATGGTGTAATATATAATTAATTGCATGTGTGTGGTAGACGGGATTGAGAATGGGGCCTGGTCTTCTCCCAATGGGACATTTTCATCCCAGTACACTGCAGGGTTTTCCCACGCATCCACACTTGCAGCGGAGACCTCTTCTCCTAGAGGTGAGATCTGGTACACATTTTCCCAATAATCACACTCCTTGCACTCCTTCATTCCAGTTTGCTTTCACTCATTTTCATAAATAACTTAGTTGATCACGATTTTATTTTTTATTTATTATTTCGGACTCGTTTTATAAAAGTACGTTTCAAAATATCTTTTGGGATTTCTATTAGCTAACAAATTTCTAGTTTTTTTTTTTTGTGAACTTAGTGTTATTTATAAAATGTATATTATAAAGGTGTAAATTATTTAAAAATATATATAATAAACACTAAAACGTTTGAAATTTGTTCAGTTTTATTACTACAAGAAATTTCATCTTATCCAAATCCCAAGGGAATAGATATTTTAGAAGTCTCTAGTAATGAAGACACCAACAATAACTAAATAATAATTTATCGAATATGTTCGACATGTATTTTTATGTTTAGATAACAACTCTCCCGAGTTTATACAACACCCATGTACTTTGACTTTCGTTAGCTATTTTTATATTACTTTTGGTCCTGTGCACCTTTCATTCTAAAAAAAAACACCTAATATTCCTCATTCTCAAACCTTTTCGGTAACTCGTGTTGCTTGTAATTTTTTGCATGTTAACAAAATTATAAATCATTGTTTTTTAAATTCTATCATAACGTTTATCCTTAAGGAGCAGCCTCTTTTATTGGAAGACTTACTTGAGCAAGAAAAACGGGAACAGGAGAAACTTCAAAATCAGCCTTCTAATCAAGAAGTATCATCTTCCACGGGCAATGAAAGCGAATCGGCACTATTGAGCGATCAAGATTTCGAACGTCTCAAAGCGGACGTTTTCAACAGCACCCCTGTAAACAGTATATCATCCGTAAATCAAGGTGTGTGTAATTTTAATAACTTATTAGTAATTATTTGTATAATATAATAAATTATAATAAATTACAATAAATTACAATAAATTACAATAAATTACAATAAATTACAATAAATTACAATAAATTACAATAAATTACAATAAATTACAATAAATTACAATAAATTACAATAAATTACAATAAATTACAATAAATTACAATAAATTACAATAAATTACAATACATTACAATAAATTACAATAAATTACAATAAATTACAATAAATTACAATAAATTACAATAAATTACAATAAATTACAATAAATTACAATAAATTACAATAAATTACAATAAATTACAATAAAATACATTTAATAATTGAATTTAATAACCTTAATTAGGAAATGCTGGCCAAACGTCTCAATCTTGGCAACAGCAGTTAGCACCAACTCGACAAGCGCCTACACCAGCGCCGCCGCCGCAGCCCACAATGGAAATTACTACTAGAGTTCAGATGTTCAATCCAAATTTAATACCTGCACCTCCGCTTCCACCTGAGAATATTATTACTGAGCAAGATAAGCAGACCCAGTTGTTGTACGAGCAGTGGTTAAATCATCAGCATAACGCTTTGGCTCAACAACTGCATTATTATGAAACTGAAGTACAAAAACTTCGAAAAAGTAGAAAGGTAAGCAGTTGCTTTATATTTAATTATGTTATAAATAACAGCTTTCTTTTTTAGTCTTTAAATAGTAAACAGCGGCAACTTAGAAAATCTGGAAATCAGTTAACGGATACGGATGCAGCGGAACTTCAAAGGATATCCGCTGAACAAGCGATCCTCCAAAAACATTTGGAATCGAGTAGAAAACAGAGCCGTCAACATGGAATGCTGATCCAGGTATCTATCATAACTATAGGCACTGCTCTTTATGTAGGTTGCACAAGTAAATTAAATTATTTTTATTATGACAAAATTAGAAATTACAATAACTGTACATAATGTGTGCCAATCAAAACTAATTGAATATTTATATCAGAAGCGATATGGTTTTTAAAATTCCCGTCAAATAATTGGAGAAAAAATTTGCATGTTTACATTTAATAAAAAATCCGAAAATAATAAATGCATATACTTATTTAGTTAACATTCCAAGGGATGATATCTTAGAAATTAATTGATCTATTTTAATTGTGTAAATATATTTATCACTTCTAAAAAATGATTAAATAAATCCATATCATTCCTCGCAGTGTACATTTAATAAACATCTATCACCAAAATTAATAAACGTTCTCAGGAAATTATGTTGTATAAACAGTCCAAGGTCATTTAAATCGAACCACAATACTGACGATTACCAAAATGAGACACTGCATTTATGTCTTCAAAAGATTGCCATGACCTCTCCACTTTAAGTTTTTATGGAATATTTTATTTATTCAAGTATTTGTGGTGAAAAGTATGTCTCATACCTCTTCGAAATTCCAACCGAACACGATTAACATCTCCTTGATTGTGCTTCTCACCTCTCTGGCTTTTTTCTCTTGGAAACTCAGGACACTTCCATTGTGACGACTGTGCTTTTGTTTCCGGGTCACACCCAGTTATAATGGTGTTCAGAAACTCAGGTTTAGTATTGATAGTATCCAGCAAGTCCTGTGCAACCGCAAGACGAAGTTCTTTCTGTTCCGACGACAAAAGCTTGGTCACAAATTTAGAAGCCACTCTATGCATGATCATCACGCAAAATTCCGTGTGCGGAATCTTTACTAATCTCAACTTCTGCGGCCAAACGACGATTTCTTTTTATTAGATTTCCTTCCCTCTCACAACAGCTGCATTTCGAGCAGTTTGTGGCCTTCCAGAACGCTAATCACTCTCCGCCGATTTCCGGCCATTTTTGAATCGTTTGAACCACTATTAAATTTGAGTTACTCTCATAGTATCGTCTCCAAACATCTGCTGAATCTTACAAATGTTTCGCTTTGAAAATCACCAAGCTTTTGACAAAATTTAATGCATTACCATTGTTAAAATTCGTTCAGTCATTTTAAGAGGAATCAAAATCTGATGAACAATTCGCTCGACGGTCAGTATGCAACGACTGATTTACCGTAACGCCGAGAAGAAATTCACGCATGTGCATTAAGTTGTCTCCACTGTGCACAGTAACGCCGGCCTAACATTGCTACTGTGCGCAGGAAAGTTTAAGGTGGAATACTTTTTAGACAGACCTCATACATCTCTAACATGATTGAAACGACACTAGTCTGCATGAACAATAGATTATGGTATCTAATTGCTTATGGGGTCGTAGTTGTATCTAAATGACCTTTTTATAAATTACCCATACTTCACTTTTTACTATCAATTCTTTTATTTTATTAATTAAAACAAGTCTAGCACTAAACAAACAAAATCAAAGAAAGCCTACTTTATTAGAATCAACTGAGAATAAAGCACTACTTAAATAATCAGTGGACCCTTTAAATTAAGAGTGTCCATTAGATTTATTCATTCTCTCTGACTGTCCTCTCTTATTATTCTTTCTAAATATAACACTAATTTATAAACATGTCGCCTTGCTTTTGTTCGGTTTTTAAAACCGGTATAATTACAACAATAATCCTATCAATTACTGAAGGAAATCTTACATTTTGCTTTCATTTGTTTAGTATTATCAAAATTTCACTAGTAAAAAAGCACATAACAAAAAACCTAAGTAATCAAATACTATATGAATAACAATACATTTTTTTATTCAGTTTAACATATTACTTTTGAACTGGCTTTCACATTAACACCGTAGTTGCACCCCCTACAAAAAGTAGCAATGTCTATATTGAAAATTTTATGTAATTTTGTATTACCCTTATTGGTCTATATGAAGGAATATCGCAACAAGCATCCTGTGATTAAGCAGAGGACCGGATCAGACCAAATTCAGTCGCCGTTGGGACCGCCGGCGTCGTCTCCCATTCAACAACCAAGTACTTCTTTGTCTCCGATGTTATCGCCATCTGTATCACCGATGACTCAAAATAGTTCGCCTCTGAATAGTCCTGGACCTCTGATTCCCTCGTCTCCAGGACACGTTCAAAATCTTTTACAAAGTCCTAATAGTATATCCGCTACCAATATGTCTCCTCTACAATCAATGCAGGCTTCTCCAATGCAATCTTCGCCTTTACAATCTTCGCCTAGGATAGGTACACCTCATTCTCAAAGTAAGTCGAGTACAATTTTTACCCTTTAAAAAAATGTTAGAATATACCTTAGAGGTGGAGTTGACATTTACCAACTTTTGTAGAAATTAACAATTCTATTATTTTTTTTTTAGGTGAAGAAAGTCCTGGCCCAATACAATCCCCATCACAAGTATGTCTTCCGCCACCGATGCCAAGAATGACTTCTCCTCAGCACAGAAGAGTGGTAACAAGTCCTGTTGGTATGTCACAGATGAGATTTATAAACAACACAGTATTGCAACAACGCGTTCGTATGCAATCGCCAATTCCAAATTTCCAACAAAAGCCTGGAACGCCGTCTCCATTAAATAGTCCAACGTCGCAACAGATAAATGTTAATCAACTACAAATTCAAAAACAGCTTCAGCAACAAACGATTTTGCAGCAACAACAGTTGCATCAACAAACTTTGGATACCAACCTTGTCGATCCCAATGCTCTTCATTCTCAAAGAACAACGCAGCTGTTACAACACAGGAATTTCATTAGGCAACAAGTTACTCAGCAACAAATTATAGGTCAGCCACAAACATTAACTCCTCAACAACATCAGATAATGTTGCAGCAGCAAAAACAGTTAGCTCAACAGCAACAACAGCAAATCGCTCAAATGAACGCAGCTAGACTTCAACAGCAGCAGCAGCAACAACAACAGCAGCAAAATAATCCCCCTCATTCACCGATGCCCCCAAAGAGTCCAATGATTATGTCGCCGCATTCAATGCCTCATTCTCCGATGCAAATGCCACCGAAAAGTCCAATGGTATCTTTTAGTTCTAGTCAACCGAATCCGAATTCCCCTGCTGCTAGAAGTCCAGCATTTCATCAAGGAATGAATCAACCGACGAGTCCCATAACCCATGGACTCAATCAACCTCCCAGTTCGCCTATGCCTAGGAGTCCTATGATCAATCAAACACAATCGCCGCATATGAGGAGGCCGCCTAGTGCTAGTAATAGTCCGGCGATGCCTGAAAGACCTCACAGCGTTGAAAATGCTTCACCTAGAATGTCGTATTCGATAGACCATTTAATGCAAGACAATCTGCACAGTCAAAATCGATATACCGATTCTGCAAATCTTTATAATTCTGACATGAATAATGAGAACAGCATTAGAGAATCTTTATCGAGTGGTGGAGGAAATCCAAATAACCCTTGTAATCCCATACCTCTTCCACCCGAAATTCCAAGATATCGTTATTTCAAACTCGGGCTACGAGGAGGAGCGCCTATGTGGGGTTTTGGAAGAGGCGCCAAAAGGTTACCTACACCTCCCAACGTACCTAACAAACCTGATGAGAAAGTTACAAATCAAGAAAGCTTAATACAGAAATTGAAAAAGGAATCGCACTTAAGTAAAGTATCGATTCTTAAAAGAAAAGGTTCTACGTCATCGATGGGAAAAATGGGGTCTTTAGTAAGCTCCGATTATAACGACTTAGACGACAGTTCTTCAACGCCGCCCGTAACTCCTCCTTTAGCGTCGACGAGTAGAGGTACGCTACCAAAAATTACTTCTAAAAAAACTATGGAACATCAGGGCCAAAAAGAGTCTGTAATCGTTATGCACAGTCCTGATAATAAACAATTAGAGATGATGGACTATGATGACGATACGAATACAGTTCTATCAGCTGAAGTATCTCTAAGTTCTGTTGCACAAAATGACGACGATATGGTGGAGATTGAGACTCTTTCGCAACAGGACCTCGCCGAAGGATTGGCTAGTCCTTTGGAATCCGATCAAATAGCTGAAGATTTTCTTCTATTTCCCGGTAATATGGTAGTCGATTTATCAGGCGGAGGACATTATTCCGAAAAGGAAGACGAAGAGGAACAAAACGATGACGAATTTAATGAAGAAAACATGCATATCGTTATACGCAGTCCCACCACTAGCGACGATGAATTTATCATGCAAAGTAAAGGAAAGAAATACAACGTTGATGTACATCACGATGAACGAGATGATAATCTCGAATCACCGGAACAAGAAGAATACACAGAACCGTCTGAAATAGTAAACGATATGATGACTAATTACGAAGAATCTGACGTGATGCTTACAGATCAAAACAGCAGCACTCCCGAAGATTCTATTTCGACGAAAGAAGACTTCGAGGAGCTAATCGATGAAGGTTCGCGCAAAAATAATATAACCAAACATGATATGCCGTCAAAGCATATACAAGAATTTCATAAATACACAGGGATGTTTAATTATCCCAAAAATGATACACACAGTATGCGGCCGCAGCCGAATAAAATTCCGACGACGTCTAAAAAAATTCCACAGAAAATATCTTTGGTTACTGGACCTATTGTACATACATTGCCTCCCGTCAGTAAATCTAACGCTGATAAAATTATAATTACTCAAAATTCGAATGTGTTAAACACTTCTCAAGCTTCTAAAGTTACCAGCATCATTTTAACTCACAATTCTGCCATGAGGAGGAATATTCTAAATGTGCCGAAAATAGTTAGCTCCGTTTCTCCAGCAATAACTATTGTTAGCGCCAGTACTTCCCAAATGGCTTCGATATTGCCATCCAAGTTTACTGTACCGGTTATAAGCGCTAGCGCAGTCCGTCAGCTTTCCAACGTTAAAGTTATAGATAAACCATCGTCCTCGTCTTTATCGATTTCGACTAGAGATAACGCCCTTCCAAAAAAGATATTCGAAGATGATTCAGTTTCTCCAGATAGTTCAAATTGTGGCGATGAAAAATCGAAAGATTCGTTTGACGATAAAACCAACTCTCAAGAACCCAAATCTATGTTCATGAAAACCGATAATTTAAATACTTTACCTGTTATGTCAAGAAATATGGAATTTAAGTCGAAAAATTACACTGACCAGCCGAAAAAAGTCGAGCATCTTCAAGTCATGAATTTAGCGACAAAAGATTTTGCTCAAAAGCAAAGAATACCTAGTCCTTTAATATCGAAAACTTCTCCGCCTGTAATTATACATAATACACCGGAGCTGAAGATGACGGCGCAAGTAATTCAAGAAACGCAGACGCGTATGAAAATCACTGCTACTACAGACCATTTAGATCATTACGACGGATCTGTTGACGATCAAAAATCCGTCGTAATATCCATACCATCACCAACGCCTTCTCAAGAACAAATGCTAGACAATATAGCGTTGCAAGCTCTGGAAAATCGTAGAAGGGAATTCGATTCGATAGAAGATGTGTTAGATATGATTGAAAATATAACTGCTGAACCACCTTCGATTCTAGAAGAAAATACTAGAGTCCGAAACACGGACAATAACAGTAAGATTGAAATAAAAGATAATAATGATATGAAGGAGAAACCTGTCACAAAGTCGGAAACGTTAAATTTATCGTCGAATTCCAAATCTTCAATTGTGCCTCAATTATCTCCACTGTCCCAACCAACCGATTTGACTACGAATATGGCTAATGCATCACAGCAACTCAGAACTCTATTATCATCATTACAAACCACTTCAACATCGGCTCCGACAAACGTAGAATCTGTGGTAAAAAATTTTGGACACAAAATTAGCAGTAGTACATCTTCTGCTAGTCAACCGATTGTCGCATCTAGAGTTATACAACAAGCCGGTAGACATTCGCCTGTCATTACGAATGTTAGTACAGTTATAGTTCCTAATTTTAAACAAAAAATCACCGTTACGTCCGCAAGTACGTCTAGAAGTAGTCCGGTGAAACAAGTAAGCAATTCCGCTGTAATTACGTCTACTCTAAATTATTTGCCAAGCAGAACTGTAGGTGGTATACAGTTGATGCCAGATCATCCCAAATTGCCACCTGTAACGAGCGTACAGCAAATTAATTCTGTGACTTCGTCTCAACAGGCTACTGCTATGCAAAAAAACGCACCTAATGCTGATATTAAAAAGCCTTCATTGACCCTAACGGCGATGTTACAAAATCAACCTGCTGCTAATATGATGACTAAACCTTCGTCTGACACAATAACGGCTGCCAGTCTTCTGGGATCACCTATCAGTTTGCCAAAAACTGGATTTACTACGTCTTTAGTACAGGCTCAACCGAGTGTAGTAGTTCCAAATACATCAACAACAATTGTAACATTGCAGAACCAGATATCCACGGTGGGTATCGCCGCTAAAACCACTGACACGATCACAGCAGCAAGTTTGCTAGGTACGTCGATAAATATTACGAAAACGGGATTTACAACTGCTTTACTGCAAGCCCAGCCCAATCCGTGTGTTACTTCTCTATCTTCTAACGTTACAAGCTCTGCAGCCCTATCGAACTCCAGCAATATCATAACTAGTTCGACGCATAAAGTTCCAACTTCTACTACGAATTTATTGCATACGCAATTAACCAAAGTTGTAAGAAGCAAATCAGTTGATGATGTAAAAGACGTAATAATGAAGCAAGAAGATGTTAAATTATCTCATAACGAAAGTTTAAATATTTTGGAAGACAGTAAAGCATCTGTTCTAGGGAATAGTGGTTGTAAATTATCCACAATCCCCACGCCTGTTATAAATAAAACTGAAGATTCGCAAAACGTTTTACTGAAGAAACTACTTCAGAATACCGCTTGTGCCAGCACTCAGTCTCCTCCACCTAGTTCGACTAGTACGACTACCACTGTCGCCAACATTCCTAAACCTCCGATACGAGAAACGTCTTTCGTTTCCAATCCGAATGTCGAACAACCCGTTTCCCAAGCAAATTCGTCTCCGATTGTAACTTCGCAACAAATGAATTTAAAGAAATTTATGCCTACTAACAGGAGTACTAGTAAAGATGAATTATTATCCCCGCAAACGCCTCGATCAGTAAATAACAATCAAGATTTAAATATACAAATGCCGGCGATAGTTAAAAAAGAAGTAATACCGCCTCCGCAATCGAGTCCCCTTTTGATGCCGCTAGAAGTCAAGAAAGAATTCATCGACGAATCGTCTCAGCACTCGGAAGTTTCGGATCACAGTCGATCGGATGTTCAAATTAAAGAAGAACTAGAATCTATAGACAATACAGTCGAAAAAGTTTTGTTAGATAAAGAAGAAATAAAGAAGCAAAAACGGCGAATGTATCAACAAAAAAGGAGACAAAACCAGATTCTTAATAAGGAATTAGCTGGTCAACCAAAGAAACGCCCTCGGAAGAATTCTAAAATCGAAGAAGATTACGATACTTATATCGATGGGGTGCTAGCGCAATTAAGACAGTTGCCTCCTATTACCGTTTCTGAACCGGTGCTGAATCGTAATTTTGGTGTAGTACCTCTCTTCGGTTCAGGTGATATGTCTAAAATTGGAACAAAAGACTATTCAATTCAGTTCGGGGAATTAGTCGGTAATTATGGATATAGCGAATTGCCGACGTTCTCGGACTTCTATTCGACCAAACCCTATGGCGATTTGGATCCGATTCCAGAGAAATCACCGTCGTCAACTCAGAGAGGTTTCTATGACCAAGAATTTCCGTTAATCAGATTCGATACTGACGAACATAAAAAATTCGATATGTTCTGCAGAGAAGATACGCCTGATTCCATACTGAGCAGTTCGTCTCCTGAATGCGTGTTAAACGAACCGCATTCTAAATTTATCGGATTCAAACTGATCACTGATAGTGAAGATGAGGAGGAAGAAACCGGCAAAGAAATGTTATCTCGCGGGAGATTATCTCCGGTCGTGCCTATGATTAGACCTGTTCCCATTAAGCTGAAACCTGTTGGTGGATTGTACGTTAAAGAAAATCCTAATGAGGTTAGTAACATTTTAATTATTTGATTATATCATACATTTTAGGAACATAATGTTTTTATTTTTCTTGTATCAGTCATGTATGAGGCGCGGTTACTCAAACCGCTGTATCTTCGTTAGTTTTGCTCCGATTCATCTCAAATGTTCACACAATATTCTTGAAAGGTTTTCCATTCACAAAATCAAATATAAAAAAATGCAAAAAAAAGTTTAAAAACTTTACCCCCTTAAGAATGCTTAGATCGTTCCTACCCATTCGATGTCAAAAATACAAGATTTAAAATGGCGGATACAATATGGAGGACTGTGAATGATATTTTTTCCACTTTTCATAAAATTTGAGTCACTGATTACGAACCTGCTATCAGATTTTCAAAATTGAAAATGGCGGATTTTGATATAGAAATGAAAGAAAAAACTATTGAATATGTCTTAAAAATTAATAAGTTTAACAGTCGTTTTCAATTCAAGTGACCATTTTTCAATTTTGTCGCCTGCCATATTGGGACCGCCATTTTGTCTTTCTAATTTTTAGTTATAAAATTCAGCGCCTTTAGAAACCCAGCAGGTTTCATTATTATGAAAAACTGCGGGTGTCAACTGATAATATTTAAACTGGGGGAATTTAGTATAACAACACCTAATATATATAGACAATTATGTATACAAAGGTGTTGCGAAAAAAAAACGACTTATCTGTGGGAAGCAAGTTTAACTGCATATGTCAAATATAGTTGAAATCATTTACAGTAGAAATGACAGCCGCAATGAAAGGGTTAAGGGCTATCTGAAAATATCTTTTTAAGTTTTGATAGAAAGAGAAAGGTTGAACATCTTTATCTCTCTCTCCCAAGTCTATAGCGATCATTTCTGCTTGTAAGTTCGTGGCAAAAGTGCCCAGGTTTATTAATATGTAAACTCTTGACTTGTTACCTAATACTCTTGTTCCTAATGGACATACTTCAATATTTTAATAGATTCATTTTCTAAGTACTTCTATTTCGTTTTTCAGAATAAGGAAAATATTCAAGATTCCGTAAACGTCTTAACTAAATCTAAATTCGATAATAAGCAGTCACCGCCGTCGAACGATTCTGGACATGTCACAGTGACGTTAACACTGACATCTTCGGCGGCAGAAGATATAATGGGCGTATTAAGAGATTTGGCGAACATTTTACACATTCCTGCTCCAACTAGTTACCAAATTGTAGAAAGAACGACTTCTCCGCCTAGTCAGAAGTTAGGCTTATATAGAACTAAAGGGAAAGATGGCAAAGAAGGAGGTATGATTTATTTTACATTGCATTTTTGTAATTTTATCAATAAAATTTTTAATTATTGAACTTTGTTTTGTGTCGGTATGAAATTTAAAAAATATTTTGTTTAAAAGTGATATATTTTTCGAATCTTTAACCGATGAGTTTACAGAACTTTAAAACCGATTCTCTCACTGTTTAATAGTGTATGAGGTTTATTTCTACAGTTTTTCTGATGCGCATGTCAGTCAGTATTATTTGTCAGCGACTTTTACTTGTTAGAATGTAAATTACAATGAAAATAGAACAAAGCCATTACTTGTTAGGTGAATAGGTATTTTAAACATGCAACATAATACATTTTTATACTTGTCCTAAAATAACTATCTGAATATATAATTTATACATCTTAAAATATCTATTTTTATTAACAATAAGTATTTACATTAAATAAAATGTACACAAGCAAAAAAGTCAAAATTATTCACAAAAAGATATGAAAATCTAAGCTAACTTGAAACCATAATAATAACCAACAAATACACAACCGAGAAGAGATTCAAAAGCGCATGCGCTTATAAATTGTGCAAGTGATGAATAACTGATCGTTTTGCCAATCTGCGGACACATTCATTCATAGGATTCCGTGTCATTGTAGCAACGGACCACTAGCAATGCGCATGCATGATGATCAAAGGAACTGTAGGAACAAACCTATAATGATGACACATTAGTACAATTTATAAACTAGGGGATTCGTACTTTATTTCTGACGTCAAACTAGTAGCCGAACCCTAGCACTGGCAGTTGACTCTAATACCGATTTTAATTTTTAGCTCCTATCGACATCCAGAGCATTCTTAATGGTGCTACGAAATTCTGTAAACATTGTGATGTAATCATCTTAAGTAACATTATCAGAAGGAAAGTCTCTGATTTGCCCTTCCTCGCTAAAGACTCCGATCTCCTTAGTGACGGTGAAGAATTGTTCTTTTGCAGCTCCACATGTTATATGCAATTCGCTTTGATGCATAGATCGCCTTCAATCTCCGAAGGCAAGGTAAGTACTTGTGAAATGAATGGTAAGATCACCGTGTTCCGTATAATATGCCTTAATTGTTTTTAGGCTGCCGAAATTATAAATCATTTATCTCAAAAGGACAATTTGGAGGCGAAACAAAAGTTGCCGATGATGGAATCTTTAGACAATAAATCGATAATAGCTCAAAGATTGACTTTCGGAATGAAGGATGTGAAACGGGAATTTGAACCGATGGACACGAATAATCCGTTTAGCTATTTTGCTCGTTCTGGCATTAAACAGCCTAGTTTCTTTGATGGTGTCTCGTACAAGCCGGCGCCTGTGAAAATGTACAAAAATATTAAATATAAATTGTGGGCTCCCGGTTGCCTTCAGCCAAATCAGAAGCATAAAATACCAACTGATAAGGAAATTATGGAATTGTTATATAGAATGCAGATTACTGTTGCACCTTCAGTTATGCCAGAAGATTTTAGACGATGTTTGTTTTGTCAAGGTATTTTATTAATTATTAAAGCCTCCACAAAGAGAATTGCGAAAATTGATCCCTAGTCTCCGCCCCTGACCTATTTATAATAAAAGGAATAATTAGATAATTACTTTATTTTTTGAGATAATCTTTTTTAATCTAATCTAATAGACTATAGATTAACCCTTGTACCACTCTGTAACTAATAATTTTTGTCAATATGAACATAAAACTTTAGGTTATTAATTTTTTTAGGAATTGGTGACGGAGTTGCAGACGGTCCAGCAAGACTTCTTAACTTCGACGTAGACAAGTGGGTTCATTTGAATTGCGGCCTTTGGTCGGACGGTGTTTATGAAACGGTCAACGGAGCGCTGGTGAATGTAGAAAATGCATTGCAGTCGGGTTCCGGTGCTTATTGTATACATTGTAATAATTCCGGTGCTACTATAAGATGTTTTAAAAACCGATGCTCCAGCGTCTACCACTTGAATTGCGCTGTCAAAGATAATTGCGTATTTTACAAAAACAAAACCGTTTATTGTAAAACGCACGCGCCGAAAAACGAAAAGGACAACGAACTCACCACGCTGTCAGTGTCTCGAAGGGTTTATATCGATAGGGATGAAAATAAACAAGTGGCTGCGGTCATGCACCATTCAGACTCTACTGATCTATTACGAGTCGGTAGTTTGATATTTTTAAATGTCGGTCAACTGTTGCCGCACCAGCTACAGAATTTCCACACTCCTAATTATATTTATCCGATAGGATACAAGATCATCAGATTCTATTGGAGCATGAGACAATTAAATAAGCGTTGCAAATACATTTGTTCCATACACGAATTGTGTGGAAGACCTGAATTTAGAGTTATCATTCAAGAGCCGTCTGAAGAAGATCTCGAATTCAGCGATGCTACACCGAAAGGTGCGTGGCAAAAAATCTTGGACGAAGTTTCGAATCTTCGTAAAGAAAATGGCTGTTTACACATGTTTACGAAATTCGCAACAGGAGAGGATCTTTTCGGTCTAACCGAGCCAGCGATCGTCAGAGTGTTAGAAAGTATGCCCGGCATTGAAACGTTGTCTGATTATAAATTTAAATACGGCCGGAATCCCATGTTAGAGTTACCGTTAGCGATTAATCCATCTGGAGCGGCTAGAACCGAACCGAGATTGAGGAGTCAGCTGCATTGGAAGAGGCCTCATACCCAACGTACCACGGGTGGATTTTCGGTTAGACCAATGTTCGGACCGTCACTATCTGTACCTTCTTTTAGCACACAGACTTTGGGAGAGTTGGCCTGTCCGTATAGCAAGCAATTTGTACACTCTAAGAGTTCGCAGTACAAAAAAATGAAGCAAGAATGGAGGAATAATGTGTATTTGGCAAGGTATATAAAAAAAATATTAGTAGCTGTTGCACTCCTTACCAATGTAATCGAAATCTCTAAATTCCGAGAATTTGGTTTTAATTCTGAAGTTCAGTTTCGGTATTGCTTATAAAAAAACGTTTAAACAAATCTTATGTTTAAGTTTATGAATTATTTACAGATCAAAAATTCAAGGGCTGGGTCTCTATGCTGCCAGAGATTTGGAGAAACATACCATGGTTATTGAATATATAGGAGAAATTATAAGGTCTGAGTTAGCAGAAAGTAGAGAAAAGCAATATGAAGCCAAGGTAAGTTTCGTTCTGTCACATATGAATTTTTTTAATAAAAAAAAGAAGAGGTTGAATTTTTCATAAAACTTGAAAGTCTAAGACCTAAATGCCAAAAAAAATTTTATGTAAGATTTTGAGAAAAAAAATTACTAAAATAAAAAAGATTTTGATGAAAAAATTTTGATCAGAAATATTGCAGAAAAAAAAATATCAAAAATATTTTGGTAAAAAAAAAATGAATTGTTTGCAGCCAAGTTTCACAACATATTTTTAAACCTTTTACAAGAACTAAAATTGAATATTTCTACAAATATTTCAGGTACGGTTTGTGTCATTATAGCCTCGATGAACTCTACAAATGTTAATCATTGTTTTAGTGATCATAGGGAATACCATATTTCCACCTCTACATCTCTAACTGATGAGAAGTTTTGTCAGTCATGTCAGTGAAAGTCGTGGTTGATATAATTAGAGTCGTATGTTTAGGTACATACAATATTATAGACGAACGTATGAGAGATATAGAGAAATATGCCTATAGTTGGTAAAATAGTGATCATCTGTGTGAATAATTGGATCACTCAAACTTTAGAAAATAGATATATGACTTTTGAAAATTTTATAGTTTTTGAGGCTTCTAATAAAGAATATCTTCTGCTTCATTATCACTATCTTCATTTAAATCAATAATAAATTTATTGATTAAAAAAGTCTGGTAGTATCGAAAAGCTATTGGTTATTGATTCAAATACAAAGGTATATAAATTCTTTAGAAGTCCTCAAATTAATTTTTTAAAAAGGTACACTATGAAATATTGACTATTTTTGAACCCCCAAAGTGAAAACAAATTTATTGAAAAATTGAAATAAAATGTGTCCCAGTCTGGGATTCGAATCCACCTATTCGTGTTCTAATCATTGCCTTAATCATTCAGCTATCAGGACATTAAATGCCTGATTTCAAAATTGTTAAATTGCATATAAGATTAGAAAATTATCAATTTTTCAACAAACTACCAATTTGCATCTTATATGTCTAGTCTAGGGAAACATGCTACCAGGGTAGTTATTCTTGAATTCGAGGGAATAGAAAACCGGTTTTTCCTCTTTATCTGCAGCGCACAAAATGTGTATTTTTGTCTCACTCTTCCCTCAAAATTTCTACTCCCTGAGATTCAAGAATAGATACCCTGTATGTAGACACTTCCCTAGGTCGTCTATGTGTTTTAATATATTTAATGTCCTGATAGCCGAATGGTTAAGGCAGAGTGTGCCTAGAACACGAATAGGTGGGTTCAAATCGTAGCCTGAAACAGATTTTTTTTAATTTGTCATTAAGTTTATTTTCACATTGGAGGTTCAAAAATACTTTCTTAATTTTCAATATAAGGAAATCTGAATATAACTCTGCAAACATTTTCTATTATCTAGGTTTTAGGTAACAAATATTTTGTATTTTCAGAATCGTGGAATATATATGTTTAGACTAGACGAAGAACGAGTAGTAGACGCTACCTTATGTGGTGGTTTGGCAAGATATATAAATCATTCCTGTAATCCGAATTGTGTAGCAGAGGCAGTAGAGGTTGATAGAGATATTCGAATCATTATTTTCTCGAAACGGAGAATATTACGTGGAGAAGAGGTAAATTAAAACAAATCACAAAATTATAACTTTTCTAAAACTATCCAATGTTTTTATACAATATATACATAATGAATGTTAAAAGTTATATAATTTATATTTGATTCGTTTCAGTTGGCATATGATTACAAGTTCGATATCGAGGATGACCAAAACAAGATATCTTGCATGTGTGGCGCTCCCAACTGTCGCAAATGGATGAATTAACAAGTTGAACGTTCCTTGAAATCGTTTCTCATAACTTTGTCATGTAAATATATTGTATGTCGATATGCGACTGTTTATAGTGCCATTTTTATCATGTGCGTTTTATACACATTCCATTTTCGTTGTAAATGAAAAAAAAAAAAAAAAAGTTCGTTAACTTTATTACTTTATCGATAATATATTTTGATATACTAAAAATATAACAGTTGGGGACCAAATAATAATATTTCTTGAATGCAATAGTTGATAGGTAACGTTGGGGATACATTGTTGTTTGTTTTTTATTTCGTGAAACGTTTAGTGTATTTTTCATTATCGGATGATGATAGTCAGTGTAATTCAAACAGGAATCTACCTTTAGTAACTTAATGATATATAGCTTTTTTTACCACGTTATAAAAATAGAAGTAGCTTTATTTGAACAAAACCGCGTTTTGAAAACAATTTTTAGTAAATTTATTTTTCAATCTTGTGTTAAACCAGGCACTGGCAACCTTTTTTTTCTTCCAGTAGACCGAACAGGCAAATTTATTATAGATCACGGGGCAGAACAAGAAAAATTGATAGTATTTAGTTTTGAAAAAAAAAATATTTACAGCAAGAATTGTAGACATCATTTACATATTTGTATATTTATCTTAGAAGACGCACTTGGCGTAAAATAATTCTTGAAAAATACTTCCACAAAGTATACTGCTACATACATTCAAGTGTTACTTCTGCACGATTCCGTTTCCTTTGCCTCCATCACGTTATATGGTGCATTAACTCTGATTTACTCACACTATTCGAACGGTATAGAAACACAATAATATTCATTAGAGAAAAAAATAGAATAATAGGTGGTACATGCAATATGCTCATCGAGAGGACGTGGTTAAACCACTTGCTCTCTTTAATCATTACACATCCAAATATAATTAAGGGTCTCATCTTTATTCTGCAGGATGGGTCTATTAATGTACTGTATACCTGCGCATGCATTCTTGATTCATACGTTCATTGTTTTTCTAGGAATAGGCGTGGTTCTATAGATTGTATAGATGGATTTCAGTAGCAGCGTTGATCTTAAGCATTCTCTGCACTCGTGCCATGTAGTTGCGGGGATAATTCCCCATGAATGGCCTTGAACGTTGAGGACCACAATACTGTCTCTATACTCACATTGTTCACAGTCGTTTTCACGCCCTTCAGTGCAACTACGGCAAATTTGATTGAAAAGTAGGTCCGTGGAATAAATATAAATATCTTAAACAGAATTAATTAAAAAAGTAAATGTAAATATTCTTAAAAAAACAACTAAAACATAAATCTTCTTAAAAAAAGATATAAACCCTTTGTTTAAGACGCACAATTAATGTGTTTGTAAACTATTAGGCATGATAAAATTTGCTTGAGGATGGCGTTTGACCTGCTAGTCGCAGGGTGCCCGTGCCTGTGTTAACCGAATATTTTATTAATTTAAAAACAAAATATTATAGTTCTTTTTAATTTGGGTAGTTGTAAAGTGTCTTGTGGCAGGCTTTTACTTAAAATCGTATTTGTTTTTAGTCCAATTATTACGTTGGAAAAAAGGGTATTTTTAATGCGAAAAATACCGCTTGCGATTTTATCTATTTTTATGTAGTTAAATTCAAAATGGCGTCGTTATAGCGGAATGGGAAAGCTCACAACGGAGGAAAAAATCGTTTAGAATATTCTAAAAGTCAATGTAAGGTACTTTGATGTAAAATTTATGATTGAAAAACTTAATAATTGGACTATTTTAATATAATTGTTTACTTATTCACCAATAGGTGCTATTTGAATTATTTATTGAGTTGCACTGTGTAATATTAAACCACCTTCCTAAATATCATTGTTGAATAAAATTTTATGTACACCATATTTTTAGCTTTAGCATCAATTGGAATTGTAGTATTTACCTACGTGAAAATATTAATACCATGTTTGATTTGTTTTTATCAATTGATAAGTATTATCTATTATATATTTATAATAAAAACTGCCAAAGGAAATAGCAGTTTTAAACTAAAATTTAACTAGAAACTTCCTTGTATGTCATACATCATTAGTTCAACTTACTTTGAGAATTGCTGTGCAATATTAACTTATAGTTTAAAAATGTATCATTACGATTATTTAAAGAAGACTTAGTCTGGATTATTAATTTTAGTGGTTAATTGTATATTTTGTATTAGGCACTTAAATACCTTATTATATTTGACCGATTGCTTTATATACATTTTATTGTATACCAATTAATTGTTTTAGAAAAGTGACAATCACTTGTAGTAGAATAATTTTTGTTAACAACACTACCTGAATCGATGGCAGTGTCTACAAGTTTTATTTTTATTGTGTAAAATATGTAAATAGGAAATAAAAACTTTTGACAGTTATAAATTATTACTTTTTTTTACAGATTGACGCCCATAAAAGGGTAAAAACCGTAATTAATAAATCGACAGAATTCTGATATAATCTAAAATTGTTCGAAACTGTAAGCACATGACATTTTGTGAACAATTTACAAGTATTAGAAATTAAAAATTTAAAAAAACCGACTTCAAAAACGTGCAGATGCCATCACCACATCTTAACCAAATTTATATGGGACCACCCCCGAGTACCCCCTTACTAACAAAAAAAGTCATACAAATCGGACAAGGTGGTAAAGCATTATCGCTAAACATACATAAAAAATGAAGAGTTTGAGGATTTTCTCATAGACCCAATTATTAGATTTTGACTAAATTTATATGGGACCACCTCTGAAGTACCCCCTTTCTAACAAAAAAAGAATCATTGAAATCGGACACCGTGTTAAAGAATAATCGCTGAACATACATAAAAAAAAAATATCGCGACGAATTGATAACCTCCTCCTTTTTTGAAGTCGGTTAAAAATGGAAAACAAAGGAAAAGAGAAAATCTCAAAGTCCGCGTAACAGAAAAGCCGAGCGACCGTTTTTATCCTGGAAACAACTACTACATTGACTATACCGTAACGGGCATTGTATTATATCAGAAGGTTTTTCTTTTTTTATACTTTTGTAACTGTCTATCTCATACCCCTTTTATTTATGTTTAAATCTGAATTTTTATTATTTACCTCTCAATTTTATATTAAATTCTATGCTTACTATATTTGGCCTTTTTCATCTAGTAGTAGTAGTGATCGTCTAGTTAATTGATAATTTATATACACACACGTTGTGATAATGTTAATTAAAATAAAACCGGATTCGAAGCAAAGTTTGGTGGAAATTGGTAAATAAAATTTATATTTAAACCCCTTTATTTTTCATAATTTAAAATGTAACGTAACGATTTGAAAAGTATATTACATTAGGTACTTTTTACTGAGATCTCACGTGAGTCCCGCTCAAACGCAGACCACGTTCATTTGCTATCAATATATATTATCTTATTTAGATTGATTCTATCCTAGATATACACATTTCTTAGGTAATTATTTCGACTAGTATAGATGTGATGACCAACAGCGCCAATTCGCCAGTTGGTTAACTTACTGTGTTGATGCGTACGTGTACTTTATGGTTCAAACATAGTAGAATGGGTGGATAGTATAGGTGCCCCCTTTGAGCTAACGAACAGTGCCAATTCAACAGTTGAATAGCTAAATATTAAATTTCACCATCTAGGTTTGCGTAGATTTGTATGCATAAATAACCCAATACGGTACGTCTTTGTATATTTCTAAAATACTGATTTTTATATTTTCTATTGAAATAACCCAAATTCATCCATCCAAAAACAGATGTCTAACTTAACTGTCTTTCGGGGTGAATGCCCGAAGGTCATCTGGTTTATTGGGTTACATTGATAATATTTTGAAGCAAATGTTATCCCTTATTCAAACGAAACTCAGGTGATATCTCAAAGAAAGTTAACCTTTTTGACTCGCCATCGAAAATACATACATTAGGTTCATTGAAACTAGAAATTTACTTATTTTATCTATCGTTTATCTAGCGTCGATTTTAGGTACGGTTTTAGCCAGCGTCGTGGCGGAGAGGAAGATATTTATTACAGTATTGCTTCGGGACGGATATAAGGTAGGGAATATTTAAGTAAAAATTATAAGTCATTTTCTTTGGAATGCCATGTCAAATTATAAAAGTGCTATTTTGGACAAGCATGGCTGCTATATCAATGCTATTTTTTACCATTGTCTATCTAAATAAGGGAGACGATATATAATGTAACGATTGTTTAATTTAAAAATAGTTTATTTATTTAAAATTATTTATAACGTACTAATTTATTTATTTATTTAATACTCGCAACGAACACAGCAACGATGGCGTCATCTATACGTCTCAGATGTGTCTTAAAGGTGCAAGACGTCTGCAGACAGACAGTAGACGTGGACAGCAGTTGACAGTTTGTAAATATAAATGCCAATTAGTTGTATGTATATCTGCCGCGTTTGAGAATCCACATTGGATGCATGATGTAGTAAATCTTTGATCACGTGATTCAGTATACGTAAATGTAATGGGACAGATGTGTCCGATGTGGATAAAAAGACGCTCGAGATGTAAAAAATGCATCCGATGTGGATTCTCAAACGCGGCAATCGTAGAATCCTGAATTTGAATTTTAAATTTTGATTTCATGATAGTGTTATTCTCTAGATGAACTAAGCGAAATGGTTGTGGCTATTTTTGTGTGAAATTTGAGAACAATAATTATATTTTGTAATATTGCAATAAGTCGGAGAACGTATTGCAGTAGTAACACATGCCACATGCATAAATTTAACAACTCCAATGTGACGTTCTTTAATTAACCAAAGTAAAATCTACGCATGTAACACAAACAATAGCCAACTTTTTTCAAAAAGTAGGTATTTATTTATTATTAATTGTTTTAGATCAAGAAAATGGCTTCAAAACGTTAGAGAGAAAATTTGATATAGGAAGAAAAATATCTGAATTCCCATTATTGAGTTTATACACTCAACATTTTTAAATAAGACACCGTTGGCAATTTGTTTGGAAAATAAAGACAAAAACATTAATATTACAAATATTTGTCATGAATAGATTTGCAATAATTAATCTATAATAGACTGTAAGTGTAGTATTCCTTTTAATAAATAATTTAGCGTAATTACATTGTTTAAATTTATTTAACAGAAAATGAAAGTGCAGTCGATATTTATACAACCTTTATTATCAGGTTTTTAAATTTCCAGCTGTGTTTTTTGTTTGATCACGATGAAAGCGCCACATAGTGGGTCAGATGTTAACTGCGTTAAAGGTGGTCGTTGGCTTCTTATCAGCGCTTCCTATCTTTATGTCCCATATCTCTGCTCTAAATAACGGGGATAAACAATTTATGTTTCAATCTCTTTCAAATCTAATATTGAAGGTTTCAAAAAAAAAATACACGTCTTAAATTACTAAAATAAAACTCAAATCACTTTATAAAGATACCTTTATTCAAAAATTAATGATATTAACGAAACTATTTAAACCAATACAAAATGAAACTGCAACTATAATATATCACAAAAGGTTTTAAGGTAGGTATGTTCTTACTTCAAAATTTCTTACATATTAGGTATATTATTTACAAATTTAAATTACACCTCTCCACTAATGAGTTTTTTGTCAAACAACCATTCTCCAAGAGCGCCATGGTCTTTATGCATTTTCTCCAAAGTTGAAATTTTTCCTGCTATATCTCTTTGTCCGTGATATTGTTCTTCAAGGAAATCACCAGTTAGATAGTCGACGAGCTAAAAAATAAAATAATATATTACATCACTAGTATGGAAAATTATATTTTTCACGCAGAAAATAAATTTTCAAACGAGTTATATTTTTAAATTCAACAAAACCTTATACAAAAACTAGTGAAACAACGTCGTAAATGTATGTTGTGTCATTGTTATCAACCGCATATTCTGTAGATATTCCTAATTTATACACTTATAATTCTAGGGGAACAATGACGTAACTGGAAGGGGACTGAAAAAGATGATTTAAATCTGTAATGTTCCAAAATATGACATATTTGGCTTTACCGTAGGAATTCTTTTTAATGCATAGTCTTATTTTAAAAAAAATTGACGAATTTTTTAATGGTGCAATTGTTATCCTTACATATAAAAAATATTTTCTCAAAATTTACTAATTTGCAACGTTCCATCGGAGAAACAAATTGTAGATTTGCTGTGTGTATAAATAAATAATTACAACACATGAACAAACATATTTTTTCTATCCTATTTTACTGCATCTTTTCCGTTTGTTTTTTATATTTACAGTACCGTGACAAACAAATTGTTATAATTAAGTTCAAAATTATAAACTTACATGGTAATGGTTGAAGCTGCTGCCATCTTCACAAACTTTAATGACCTCTCTGATCTTCTTTGTAACAGAAGCTTCTAATTTAAGGGCATCTTTAAGGGCAGAGACTCCGTTAACCCAGGTAGTAGTTTTTGGTATCAGCTGAAAATAAGATGATTTTTGGTTAATTATTTTACAAAGTATACATTATTTAAACTTAGAAATGGTCATTAAAAGATAAGATAAACTGTTACTTCTAGTAATGATAAATATATTGGTTATATTGACTATTAATTACTGTTGGAATAAACAGAATTACTAGATAATAAAATTAATATTTCCTATAGATATATTTTAATAATAATTAACTGAAGATAAGGTAATAATATTTTATGAAGTGCTATTCAAGTTTCAAATAAATTACTTGTATAAAAATTTAATAAAGATGTTTTATTAAATAAAATGGCCAATAATTTTCTGAATTCACACATGGCCATTACCTGAAAGTAACGTAACTTTAGGGTTCCCCAATTGAGAGAGAAAAATTTGGGAGCGAATACCCTATATTAATGTGACGTAATTTGTATTCCAATGACAGTTCTTTTAACAAAATCAAACCATGTTCTTAGTTTTTTTTAATAATATTGTTTCCCGATCATAAAAAAGTAGTTTAAAACTATATAATTAAATTATTTTTAATGTTTAAATGAATACAATCTTCAAAATAATAAAAATCTACTGTCATTTACGGGAACAAAAAAATACGTCATCACTAATATAGCGTATTTGACGAAATGTACCTCTCTCTAAGTGTTTATCATGTAGCGAAATGATTAAATAAAATAAGAATTATAAAATAAATACAAACATTTAGATAAAATCCTTAAAAAAATATTTTATTTGTATAAATAAACTGCCAAACACTCACATTTCTTTTGATGAGGTCACTGACTTTAGATGTAAGTTCTCCTCTCATTAATAAATAAGAAATCAGTTTGATGGCGTGTTCCCTCTCTTCACTAGCAGATTTGAAAAACATATCGGAAAATCCTTTTAAGTTCACGGTGTCCTTAGAAAAGTAAGCACCCATGGCCATGTACTGCATAGATGCTCTTAGTTCTTCTGTAACTTGATCTCTCATTTTATTAATACACACTTCCTTCATGTCAATCCAGTCCTTTGGTATGTTTAGTTCTTGGTTAGCACCTGAAATGTAAGATAGGTACCAATTTAGTTACTTTGTTTCAGAGCATATATTACTAAGACTAGGTTAATAATGGAAAAAATATAGCCGGCTATATATAGTTATTAAACTATTAATGCTGCTCAGCTGAAAAAAAGTTTCGTACTTTGGACATATCTTTTGTTTATCGTGGTTTATATACTACTTTTTCACTACTTGCAAATTTATTTCTTTTATAATTTTTAAGTTAATAAAAAGAAATGGCAAAGCATTTGTAAATTTCCACAAAAATAAAATACTTTGCTTGAAAACAATAGCTAATTTCTATTTACAACCTACGTAATAGTTATTTACGTGCCCAACGTGCCAAGATTGCAAAGTGGTACTTTACAGTATGAGGCGTGCACATATGCATTGATTTTTTGTACAACCGCCAATAATTTCACAATAATAGACATTTGTCATACATTTATATCAACGATTTAATTCATTGTAATTAATCGAAATGTTAATCATTTCTAGCGACATATGAATACGGTGCTACTGTCATTGTAAGTAATTTAAACATATTTATATCTACTTTATGTTTAATGTTATTTTAACGTAAAAGCTGAGTAAAAGTAATTTACCGAGGCTTTGTCATTCTTTTGTTTTGAAATCTTGACAAAGATCAATAAGATCTTTCTTTTCGCTCTCTTTAATAAATTGCATTCAGTCTTCATTTAAACCACGACCCCTGACTAACGCAGCCTTAAGCGCTTGGACTATTACACTGATCGAAGGTCAGTTGAAACATTTGAAATTCGCGCGTCACTAGGTTGGTAACTGCTTCCTTGTTGTAAAATGTTGTAAATAAAAATATGAATTCGAAAAGTGCACCCGGTTTACTCTTTTGACTCCAAATCTAACTTCTCATCACAGGGGTAGTATTCTCGAGTCACGAATATAGATTCACATGCGAGATTTATGATTTGTCTCACTTGGTTTTCGTTCAACAAAGTGAGACACATTGTAAAACACGTATGCGAATGTCGGTATTCGTGATTCGAGAATACTACCCCTGGGATACAATGCATTTAAGCACGAACTGAAGTTAGATATGGAGTGAAAAGAGTTCACTATCCGAACTCAACTTTATACTAAGTGGTTCACGGGATTTCATCATTTTGTTTTCCGTTATTTTGCAATTTGTGTTTTAGTGGGAAATGGCTGGAAGTGTTTTTGCTTAAGTGAACAACCACTTTTAATATTGAGGGAGTCTTTAAGACTATTTCGATGTCCTTTATGTATAATTTGATGTGTAGCCTTTGATATGGATTGTAATAGTAAGTATTTCTTGAAGAAAAAGAGATTACCCCCTTTTACCAGCTTAGAACTCCAAGCTCCAAGGAAATACGAAATACCGGTAAGAATTTACTTACATATTTTATTGTCGATGTTTACGGGAAATAGGTAGGTATTCTAGGCCATAGGGGATTTTAAAACATGAAGATAATTGTTTATATAATGTTCGCCAAATAGAAAATGTGCTACATAGACTTTTTATTGATTTTAAAATAATGTATTCTTGATAAAACGTTGGTACATGGTCTAAAACTCAAAATGCAATAATCGAAATTTATCTCTCACATGTCCGAAAACAAATTTAGCTCGAGTGTTAAGTCCGTTTTATTAAAGAAATGTACAGAGGTCATAAATGACTACATGCGCCATTCGCAAAAACCAGAGCTATATTCTTTGGTTTAAAAATATTTTCAACAACTTTTATAACCAGTTTTAATAAGGCATCATAGATTTTTGAGAAGCCCTTAGTTGAATTTGAAACACTGATGTCACTAACAGTTGTCATTGACAGGTTGGCCTGTAGGATTCCTATGTATTTAGTGGATTGTGGATTCATAATCCTTCCTCCATGGATCTGTAGTTAGTAACAGATGTGTTTACCTCATGTCAAAGAGAAACCCAGCTTTTTACACAAACGAGGGTCATGTTACATTTAGAATCTGACTATAACCAGTAATTAGAATGACAAGGTCAACTTTTCAAGAATTATTGAGAATGATAAACCTTGATAATCATGCATTTACTGGCAGTAACTTCCTGTTTGTATTGATAAGATTTTATTGACGATTCTGTGGTTGTTAAGCAAATGTAACACATTTATCAAACTCAACTGCACATGACTTAATAAATAGTAAGCTTGATAGCTGAACCCAAATACTTTTTCTATTTTTTTCTTATAACCACTTCAAATAAATCTTTTTTATTAATTTTATTGTGTGCTCACTATGCTCTGCTATACAGTGTCAACTATTGAACTCTTTCCAATACGCTTTGTTAGTGTCAGTGGCAGCTTGTGTCCAAAATATTGTGGTTCAAAATGACAGAAATCTCAATACAGATTTAGGTAAAACAACTTTCAATGTTACATAAAGGTATAAACACTGAAAGTTTTGTACCTAAATCTATACTTAGATCTATATTGTCATTGTGAACCCCAATATTTTGTTTAAGAGCCGCCACTCTAGTGTTCAAGTGTAAACTACAGGTAGTTAGCATTATAGCGAGCGGGAAACATAATACCAGTGTTGCCAGTTTATACTGCCCTGCTAATGTTCCATTAAATTGTAAAAGGTGTTCAACTGCTCAAATGGGACTATCTCTTCCTAAATTACTCCCTACCATATATTTACTAGTAGTTAACAAAATAAAAAAAAATTGCATGATTCAGTAAAAGTAACAAAAAAGAGACTAGGAATAATGGTAATAGTTAAATATCTTTACACCAGCAGACAAGACCTGTAGTGGAAGATATGATGTAGTACAGTTATTGAATGAATCAGTAAAAACTGGAGAAATGTCATTGATGCTTAATTTTTAATGGTTTTGATGCAAGAAGATGGTCAAATTTGTTAAATTGCAAATTGTTTCTGGATTCCAAACCAGTGAATAAAAGGAAGATAAAAGGAAAGCACCCAGGTCCAGTTGGTTGGGGTTTTCAGCATTATCACACTTAAGAACTTGGGACCGATTGAATGACAATAATTGTTGGTTGAAAAAAAAAAACTTCAAAAAACTCTTTTGATTGCTTCCATCCCTTCTTTGGGCCTAGGTGCATTCCTTTTATCCTCTCATCTTGTAGGGTGAAACCTACAAAGGGCAATGGGTTCCACAATGCCATCCTTTACAATAATTTAATTTGGCTATTCACTGGAGCGTCAGACCCTAGGAATATATCACAATGTTCTAAAAATAATGTTCCCTCAAACCAACATAGTCACTTCCATTTAATTTCTAGAGACCCTGGCTGTACAAAGGTCTTTTTAAGATCTTTCCTTCCTCAAAAGTTTTGTCCATGAGTTGCGACCTTTTGTGGTTCTGTATTTTTTACAATGTGTTTTTTTCTATTAAAAATTTTACCTAACCATTATTTTAGTCCTAAGAATTTTCACCTTGCACCATAATAACTTCTCATTAGTTGGTTCATGAATTAAATACACATTAGTTTTAAGGAACTTTTGATGTTCACATCAGCAGTTGTATCATCAATCTTTACAGGCCTGAAGATGGCTTTAGTGCCAAAAGCGGTTGCCATGTAATTTAAATATCAAAAAAAAATTGTGTGAGATTCTTTTATGTATCATTTCTTAAATTATTAAAGTTGTAACTAATTCGTAATTTATTTTTTCATTAAATGCACATATATTTTCAGATCTTAAGCTTACATAATTTTTGAAAAACTAACTTCAAACTATTAACCCTCACTCCTTGAATGTATGTAGTTGGTTTTTACACTATATTCAAAGAATTCGAAAGGGCTAAAACAACCATATTTTTTAAATAAAAAAAAAATCCTATATTTGTTTTTATAAACTACGCGTTAACTTACAAATCTGAAATTGTTAGGCCACCATCATATTTACAATATGAAACTGACTATGACACTCTTTCATATTATTGTGATGCAGCTGTACTCTTTACTATTGAAACGAAGTCTAAAATACCCTAATTTTTTACAATATCAAAAATAGCTACTATGAAGCTCGCCAATTCTCACTCATCTACAAATACTCTGATATAAATATATCACAATATCTCCTTCATATTCCAAATAGCCCGGTTCCTATTCTGAAAACCCAAAAATTCTTGTCCAACTATGCTTGAAACTCCGAACTCCTGCAAGAATCTCAGGATCTCAAACTCTAAAGGACGAATCTGCACCCGTCTCTATCTGATAATCACCAACACATGCAATATCTTAATAAAATATCACTAAGCATCAACATGTACAGAGTTGTAATTTGTTTTTTGTGGTTTTTCCAAATCATATTTCCCCTTTTATACTGCACACAGTTGTGAGATCATTAAAGGTTATGATAAAATAAATTATGGAACTGATAAATAATATGAAATTCTATAATGTTGATATAAACAATTCAATTCCTGGCAACCACAGCATTTTATTTTTATTGTACTTCATATTTATTTGGTAGTGTCTATTATAAATATTCTTATAAGTATATTTATAAGGCTTTTTGTAATTTGTATTTTATATGAATTGTCTTATAGAATCTTTATAATGTCCAAAATTATTAAATATAGCAGGCTAGGTTTTTGTAACTAACCCTGAAAAGGAGGAAAACTCCTGTAGTAATAGGGTGGTTAAGTGTAAGAAATCAAATAACCTATGAAAATGTAAAATAACAAAAAAAGAAATAAAATGGGGACCTTAACAAGATTGGGAGACAGCGTTGCCAGATTTTTTTTTATTATGTAGTAGTTGACTCGAAATTGTAGTAGATCCGACAAAAATGTAGCAGATTTTTTAAAATGGTTATTATTTAAAAAAAAGGCGTTGGCACTAGTTTTTTTTTTATTGCAACACAAAACTAAAATATAATACTAAAATAATAGCAAAATTTTATCAGTAAGATGCATTATGTATTTTTTATAAAATTATTACCACCAAAAAACCATCATATCTCCATAGGAAGGTTACATATCGCACCGACATACTTAATTTAAATGTTAGATTTAGGGGTGAAATTACAGTTCCTCGATTTAGAATTGAAATGTATAGGCGGTCCTTTAAATATCAAATATTTAAATTATACAATTCTTTACCATGTGAACTGAAAAGTTTAAATATAAACAAATTTAGGACTATATCAAAAAACCAGTTGTTCAATTCACAGATTTAGTTTAGAGATCTACATTAAACATCAAACAGACTTTCTTGTGTTCAAGCAATATACAAACATTTTCGTATTCGTTAAAAATTACCATTTAGTATAGGTTGTTTGGGGTTTAGGGGTTTAAGGGTTAAGTGGTAGAACATGCTTTGTAAATGATCAAACATTTACAAAGGATGAACTTCGCCCATTATTTCTATATTTTGTTTTACTATAAAATAAAATTATATTTTGTTTTGTATTTTTATAGAAATAATAAAGACGTTATTATTATTATTATTAAATAAAAAATAACGTGTGTAAAATAAAAATATAATTCTAAAAAAGTAAACAAAATAACTGATTTTAAAAACTTAAAAAAAACATTCATATATTTTAAAAATATATATCTAAATATAAGATGCTGAGTATGGCTAAAACTAATCTACAGATCATACTAGATAGTTTCAGTGTCGATGTATTGAATAGGTTGTGCAGCTAGTGCTACATATGATAAATCAGTGTCTTGGTTTTGTTTTGAATAGACGTTTCTTTTTAAAATTTCTTCATTTGACGTAAAATTATAACAAACCTTGTTACAAATTTTGACAGGTTTCAATAAGTAAATGTGCTAGTTCAGTGTGATATTATTTTGGTTCCACCGACATTTAATTCTAACCAAACTTTTAACAAAAACATCAATAGATTTGACATATACGTTTTTACTGCTTTTAGTTTATTTCTAAATATTGTTTACATGACATAAAAAATAGTTTAAAGGTATGTAATTGGTAACTAAACGATTGTATATTTGATACATGCTATCTACTTACTTTAGGAATATATTTATAAAAGTGAAAAAAACGATATAATTTAGGTAAACAAAACGCACTCAAAAAATCTACTGTCACTTTAATTGTCACTGAACTAGCGCATTTCTGGGTTTAGTTTTTATTAAAAACAATTGTGAAAACATTCGTTCAGCTGACGCCGAGGAATGCGGTAAAGAAAAAACATAAGTTGTAACAATTATTAAATTTGGAAACTGAAAATCGTTATTGCCATCTTTTTGGCATAACAAAAGAGACCAAAAGGTCTCTAAGTCATCTAAATGTGTTTCCATTTCTTTTAAGTCAGGGATGCTTTTCCATTCCTAATTAAGCTCTTCAATATTTACTTTGTCTTTTAAAACAGGAAAGCAATTAAGAAGTTTAGTCAAGCTAGGAATGTTGTCAGAGTACGCAATTTTTGGCCCTAAAACGTTTAAATTTTCTAATAATGTGTTCTCAAAAGGAAAACGATTTTTAATTTGAGTACACAGCTCTGTATAAAATGCCAAGCATTTATGTTTAAAACTTTGTATATCATTTTCCGTTAAAATATCTTTATTTTTTTCTATATATTTTTCAACGTACGCCCCAAAATACATAGACGAAGGGTCTATCTGAATTGTTTTGTTTTTCGGGTCAATGTCATTTAAAGGAGCACAATCAACTACACTTATGATGCTCTGAAAGAGAGTCGTTATCTTTGGTTTTTCTTACTGAAAAATTAGGTTCATTTTATTAATCAAATCTAAAACAAAATTTAAAAAATAAAAGTATAATTTGTACATTCCACTGTTTAGTGAATTTAAAATAGTTTCGCAAGACTGTAACTTGTCTACTAATACAGCACCTTGAAAATATAATATTAATGGCGCCCAATTGTCCAGTATTTTTTAGCCACGATTCCAAGAGAAAGCCAACGAGTTTGACTTGGACGTAACATTTTGTTTGGTTTGATTTGCAAAAAAGATTGAAACTGTTCTCTTTGAATCTCTTGGGGCGTTACTAAAATAATTGTTAATTTCTCTGGCAAAGTGCTCTATTGATTTGGGTAGCTGAGGCACAGAGGTGAAAAGAGTGGCAAGTATAACCAAGGACAAATAAGTGTGGGACTAGTTCTTTTAAACGATCTTGTACGCCAACGTACTTTTGCGAAGAAAATAACAGAAATTAGGTTTCTTGGAAGTATAAAGGCAAATTGACCTAATATGTAAATGTAGTAGATTGTAGTAGAAATATTAAAAATGTAGCAAATACTAAAAAAGTGTTAGAACCATTAAATTGTAGTAAATCTACTACAATTGTAGTGACTCTGTCAACACTTTTGGGAGACAATTATTGCTTTGGAGGAAGCCTATACCTAAAGTTGAACGACATAAACAGGAAGGAGAAGAAGTAAAAAATATGAATGTAAATATGTAATTTAGTACCGAAGGCAAATAAACATAATATACCTAATATAGGAAAACCAATATTACTATTTCCTTAAAACACGTCTGAAGACTATTTTTTATGATTAGACATGTTTCGGAGCCCCGTGACTTCAGTTGTTGCCCAAAAAATCTACAGTTCAGTCTTATTAACTTTTCCATCAAATGGAAAATGTGTTCAATATGATTTCTTAAAAAAATCTAAAAAAAATACTAGTTCTTTTTAAGTCTTTTAAGCTTAAAAGGAACAAAATATAATAATCTAACACTCGGATGTCTTTTTGAGGTTAAGTTGATCGATAGTTGATCACGATTTTTATTTTGATAAAAAAGCAAATTAGTATTCGTTGGTATATTATAAACTAATAAAAATTACAAATATTTTGGTATTTATTCTTTTGCAAAGTCGACAAGACAAAAGATTTATTAATAAGTTAAAGCTCAATTAATAAAATATAATTTTAATGGTTTATTTGTAAATATTTTGATAACTTACATTGTAATTGTGCTGAACCCAAACTGATAACACCAACAAAAAATACAGTTAATAAAAACGACTTCATTTTTTCAATTTTATTGACTGTATTATTTATTACGACTTAAAATGACAAATGTTCTCTTTTTGAATTTACGAAAAATAACCGTAGTATGCACTAGTCTGCCTTTACACTCACTGGTGTAGAAGGTTGACTATATAAATTGACAATAAACGAAAAACAACAAATTGAGCGTAAATATATTCTTTTGCGCACAGCACCAACACGAGATTATCTAAAAGTTCGCCACTCGATTCAACATGACGATCAACACTCAACTCTAAACACTGTATTGGCAATGGCCACTGCAAGTTAAACAGAGATGGAATAATAGACTTTGGAATGCCTCGTCTCTTCTCTTCCCGCAAACTTGATAGATAGCCCCTGACAAAGCACTTTCTTTATTCATTACATGGGAAATTTCCATGCGCACGGCACTGATACCCGATGCGCACGTCTTTTTAAAATTGGTTATCGAGTATATCTGTCTGCGTAGTGGTTTATATTCAGAAACTCCGTGTTAAATTTTGTTGTTCGTGATTACGCTGGCGAGATACCAGGTTAGTACTGTTTTTGAGTTTATTGTTTGAGGTATAGGAAGTGTATTTAAAAACTATTTTTATTATTTCTAGGGATCATGAAGGTTTTCGTTATTTTGTCCTTATTTTGCGTTGCGGCTATAGCCGATGACTACTGTTATCAAGATGTGGTTGGTGCTTGCAGTAAAACAGCAAATAAACATTGTGAGTATAACCATGTTGTTTTGTCTACAATAGATGTCTGAATTAAAAAATTAGAAATTCTTATGATTTAAATCCTTGGGGTGTTTCCAAATTCGCTAAAAAGGTAGAAAGAAGGAATTAATAACAAAATTATTTGCTTCATTTTAAATAACTATTAAAGATAAGTTAAAAAAGTTGATACAATTGTTAATTTTGTTATAAAGGAGAGACTGTACGCTTTTATTAACGCAAATCTTATGCACTGCCAATTTTGTCAAAATTTTAGTATGATGTGCTTCTTATCTTCATGAGCCCAACTCGATTCTAGATGGGCTACTTTCCAAGATAAAGGGGTACTTGTTTAATCACTTTAACTCTAAACCACTATTAATGAAATGGTTAAATTACTTCTTTCCGATTACTTAGATTAGTCTTTTTGCCTAAACCTTCATCAGTAGATCACCTGCCACTTGTTAGTGGGGTTAATTACAAAACTGAAAACCTATAAGCCTCCTTTTAATTTTTGTCATTGAGAGTATTGTGACTGTCAATATCCAATATCCTCAATTTTTTCTTTTTGATTTGTCAATCTCACTGATATTCCCATAGTTAATACATAAAACATATTAAATCTTTTTTTTTTTTTTCATAATTCTGTATAAGAAATCAAGGAAAAAAATAGGTTTAACCTTACAAGAGAGGCATATTTACTACTTTGGCTAGTTTCTACAGTGAAATAATGTCTAGTTAAACAAATAACTATTTATTTTTGACCTGTTAGATTGTATTTATAAAAACAAAACAAAGAATCAAAATAAACAAAAAACATTCACTAGTGATCTCCATAGTACATGTAGAAATTGGCAGCTTGGGCATTTTGAGGGAAGCTAACAATAGAATTATGAGTAGGGATCGATCGGTATATCGGCCTAATTGGCCGATGATTATCGGTCGATATGTAGAGTGCTATATATCGGTATTGGCCTGATAAAAATATCATGTAAATATTTCAATTGTTAAGAATGTTTTAAAGAAATTTAAACACAATTATTAAAAAACATTCACTGTTCTCAGAATATCTTGAAGTTGATTTTTTTTTAAAGAAACACAAAAACAGATCTTTTTTTAAGGGAGGCACCTTTCTATAGAATCTATATGTTTTACCTTTCACCTCCGTCATTCTAACCAATACAATTTAAATAAGGAAAGTACAAAGCATGACATATCACTGAGAGTATAATTTTATTGGAAATTCAGTATTATGACTCTTCATTGCGTTATTTTTCATTTTAACACCCTCTAGCTGTTAACTGTTAAGTATTGTAAAGCGTGAGACTTCATTTAAAAGCTAATTTTATTTGTAATTTAATGCACTACATAATATTATGTTAACTAAATCAAAAATGAACTTAAAAAAAAAAAATATATTGGTTAAAGTTATGTGATGCATTGGATTAGTAATAAAATTCGCTTTCAAGTGAAGTGACACACTTTACAATACGTAATAGTTTTTATCACGCTAGAGGGCGTTAAAATAAAAAGTAGCACAATGAACAGTCTACTGAATTCCCCATAAAATTACCTTTTCGATGATGTGCTATATTTTCCCTATTTCAATTATACTGGTGATACTGACAGAGGGGAGACATATGACAGTTGATGTACGGGACAAAAGCGGAGTTTTTTAGGATGCTTTTAAATTACATTTAAGCGTGTTAAACTGTCAAAAATCGGACTAAACCGAACGCTAATAGGGTCGTTTGGAGTAAAAAGTGTTAAAAGAGTTAAAGGAACTTGGCAGATCGAACGCAATGCTTGAAATAACACTCGACCTGTTTTTGCAATATTCTGAGGTACGACCGTTCTCCGCCCTTAATGAATACCAGCCCACAATCCCAACACCCTATACAATACCAGCTGAAGATAACAATAGCTGTTCGCTATCCACACTACTTGGTGGGGTGATAAGTATATTATTGCAGATTTATATTTACAATAGTAGAAAAATGTCTTATTTTTGTACCCACCAAATCAAAGAATCTCCATTTTTGATATTTTCTCTAATTTAATTTTAATATCTTCAATTTTATTTATCATATCAGTATAAATTCTTCTTCCTATATAGTGGTGGTGATTTACTTAATGTCATACCAGTAAGTTTTTCAAAGATACCTATTCCAAAACAAACTTTGAGGAAATGAGCTAGACACATTTTCAGGAACCTCTTGGTTTACCTGCTAAAGGAACATAATCAATTTTTTATACAGAAATAGGTATTCTTAATAAAAATGTATGGCCGATATATCGGTCATGCGTATATCGTTATCGGCCGATATCGATATCGGCCACAAAAATTCATATCGACCGATCCTAATTATGAGAGACTGTTGCCATTAATGGGCAATGAGTGATCACTTTTGTAGTACTTTAAGAATGTTTTGGACTTTATTCAACTTTTTATTTATTATTTATAATATTGGTTAAGTTACAGGGCCGTAGCCAGGCCCCAGGTTTCAGGGGGGCTAAACAAAATCTTGGGGGGGGGGGGGGGGCATTTTTTTTCTTTATTAGATTATAGAAATACCAAAAAAGTATAAGAAGTTTGTTTTGCAAAATGTATGTATGAAGCATTTTTTCTTAACGATCATATAAATTATCAGACGTGTCGGTTAGTGATACGAAATTCCCAAGAATTCCTAATACATTGTTTATTTATCATAATACAAGACCAAATCAAAAAAATCTAGAATAAAATATCCAATTTTTATTTAAAAAACAAAAAAAATTAACTGAAACAACACAAATAAATTATTTGCTTAGAATATCAAACTCTTGAGGATTATATATAAGAGTATATAATATTAACAAAACTAGTTCTTAATTTCTGAGCTATAATAACCTCAACCCTCACGTCTTTCTTTTCATGGTCAGAATCCTGTGATAAGCAATTACTTCATCCTCTGAAGAAGTTTCTGTCTCCGTCTCTAAAATGTGCTTAAATCATTTTTGTTATATTTTTCACTGTATAAAACCGATTGCAATTTACAACTCGTTTTATTGTCCCTAACTCATTTCTTTTAGTCGCTCATTATAAAGTAGTAAGCATACTAACACAATTTCATAATACTAACTGAGTATAGACGTTACACTACAAGTCTTGACCTAAAATGTAAAAAAAAAAAAAATGTAAACAAGTCGTAACTGCTAACAATGTTGTCAGATTTAACAAACTATAGCTTCGTTCGCGGACAGAATATTGAACTATAATAATAACTAGTAACTATTTCGCGTAAAACGCACTCGCGGATTAAAAATAATTGAGGTATTGATCCTGGTTTTTTGTTCCGTGAAGCCATTTTAATTATTGCGCATGTGATATGGTTACTATTAATTCAGAATCTGTTCAGGATTCTCATCGCGAACGAAGCTCATAATTTTGTTATTTCTAGCAAAATTGATAATTAGGATTTGGAGAAATTCCCGAAAATGTTCTCCTTTCCAGTGGAAATTCTCTGAGAAATTTTCCACTCTACCCATCACTAGTGTCGGTATTGGGCTACGAAAAATCAACATTGTAGCCGGGAATGATAGGATTAGAGGACCATACCTTTTCAATAAAACCTTAACGGGTCCATATTATTATTTGTAATTTCTGAAAAATTTCTTGATACCCAAACTGAATTGGTTTTTCCCAAATAGAAATTTTTTGTTGCTGCAGCAAGATGGTGCACCTTTACACCTGTCTTGATGAGAAATTACTTGTTACCACGTCTTTCCAGTTAGGTAGATCGATCGAATGGCCACCTAGGTCACCAGATTAAACTTCTCTTGCTCAATTTTTATGGAAATATTTAAAAAGTAAAGTTTAGCAAAATAGACCACAAAATATCGAAGAAGTCACAGAACGCATATGGATCGAGATGGCGCAAATAACTCCGAAAATTATTGAAAAGTTTCGGGAATAGTTCATTGCTCATCCTTATTTGAGCGTTTGCGGTTCTATTTAATAAACAAGAATATTCATTGTAATAAAACTGTTTGATAGTGTTTGAATTACTTAAACTCATTAGTACGATTGTATAGATAATTGAGAGATCTTCACATTAATATTTAAAATTTCATCGATAACGTCATTACGCTCACACAATGACGTCATTAATAAAATAAATAACTGACATCTGATTTTTACAAGGATTTGACGAGTTACAATACAATGAACTTATTTCTTTTATATGCATCATACTGTATATAGTTCCTATCACTGTATACATATACTTATCTTTCATTGTTGACTCACTCAGTAAAGTTCAAATTCGTCTATGTTTGTCAACAATTACTATTAATTTAACAAAAGAAAGTAGACAGTATTTGTATTGTAAATTCAATAATAACTTTATAGCCCAAGAGCCCACTGCAAATTTTGTATTATGTGATTTTTTGAATATAAAACAATTGTTTTTAACTACTTTGCTCAGGATAGTGTCGTTTGGTAAAGTACAATAATTGTTACATGCCTTTGGAGCATATTTATTTATCCAGATGACGGCCAAAATTTGCAGCGGGCTCTCCTACTATTAGGTTGACGGGAATATTTTTTATGTTTTGAAATACTCCAACGGTACATGTTTGAGGATAAAATGTACAAATACATGTTTTATGGCATCTTCAAGTTATTAGAAATGTTTCAGAATAATATTTCTCTATAAAAAATTATTTATTAATGTCAAGTGTTATAGTACTTGTACATCTAAAATATTATCTTTATAAGATTTTAATTGTTTATTTTAATACATTATCCATACGTGTTAATTGTGTAAAAACGTTTTGAAAACATGTATTATTTTATCAAAACAAAATCTAAAAATCTTAGATTGGAAGTATTTTGTTACTTAATTTCAAGATAAAAAGATGAGGCATAATCCTTGATAATTAGATGTATAATTTTAAAAATATCCATAATAATGGCTTGTCTTTTATGAAACGATGATAGCTTTTGAATGCCTACCACCTCATATCGGCTACTTATTTGATTTTTCTTGTACGATATTTAAAAAATTAAATGAAAAATTAACGAAAGCATAGCTCAATGTTAATTATTTGTTTATTCGGTAGCTTTATTAAAGTAGCTATTTAATTTCTATTGAAAAAATACCCATTTACATGTATTTAAATCAATATTTTTGTTTTGTAAAAGGTATTAAAGATCTGTCTTAATGGTTTATTACATTTTCTCAAAAAATATTTCTTATATTTAAATTATCTACTATCTAATCATTCTTTTTTCATTTATGGCTGTTTTGAATTAATCAGATATCAGTGAAGTGACTATTGATATTTGTACCCATCAACTGTCGCTTATCTGTGTACTGTTTATCATGCACATTACAAAAGAAATATGAAGCAAATACTGGGTAATATAATAATAAAATAAAAAACAGTTTTTCTCAGAATACATATGCATTTTTAATCCCATATACGGAGTATATAAATTCCCGGTAACAAATCATGAACATTTATACAACATTTACGAAATGTAGGGTGTTAAAGTTAAAGAAATAGAAATTATGTTTACAAAAAAATATATCTATCCAAATTTTACTGTTGGCTTGAGATATTTTCTTAAAATCAGTTCCTGAAAGTTATTGAATTTATTTCACAATTTACGCATTGTAGGCCGTTGGTAAGCGAATTTTGAATCACCCTGTGGATTTATTTCATGGTAGTTTAAAAGACAGTTGCAATTAAAATACAGTTTAAGGGTCGCTTAACAGTCCGCAATTTACCCTGCTGCAAGTATTACAGTTCGCAATTCATAGAAAAAAATTCGCCACCCTAAGTCACTAAACATGTACACCAATTTAGTCAAAAATACAGACGGTTAAACTGCGACATCTCAGCAAGTCACATTTTGAGCGATTATAGCTTTATATTACCAATGGTTTATAAAGCCAATAATCTTTTAAACCCAAATGATCGTAAGCCTTACACTTTCGAACGGTTAGTGTCATCTTAAATCTAATTATGATTTATACGGTTTTGACCAATTGTTTGTTGTCTTTAAAAATACGCCCACGTGATCTGGTAAAACAAGAAATTTAATGAAAATGGCCGTTCTTAGTGACAATTTTAGTATTATTACGCAGACAGCTGTCGCATTAGAAAGAAGGAGACAGTTGCTAATTTGAGTAGGGATGGTTTGTGCGAGCATGTTTATCGGAGGAACGAGCATGCGTTTTATGAATCAATCAGTATTCACGTCTAATACGCTTGCTTTACACTGCTGTCACACTTCAAAATTAATGACAAACTTTCCTGATAAACACTATACAACTATAATAGTTGCAACGAGAAAAATGTATTAAACTGATAATAACTGGCATTAGCAATGCAAATATACTTCCCTAGTATAATTTTAAAAGCCTTTTGTGCGCTTTAGAGTCTTATGTTTAGTTAGTACCGAATTATAACCATAAACAATTCTTGTAACAATACTCTCTCATAATAATTTGGCAACTACGTGGATGACACTGGAAATGTTTGCAATTCCATGTGTGCAAGGTCGACTACTTTTCCAGAAATGTCCGTCGGACTAGTCCAAAAATTACTATTCATGAAAAGTCTCATCATATTTTTTTATTCTGATAACAATCTTTTATCCTAATCCTAACTACAAACTATTTAAACCTTATCTAAAAATACTGTTACAAAGAAAAAATATCAGATATAGTTTTATTAATAGTTGTTCCGGCAGTGACGTATATAGGAATTACTTTTGGGGGGGGGGGGGGGGGGCATACGAAAATAAAAATTTGCATTTAATTATATATTAGTATATATCTACTAAAAAAAATTACGTTACACTAAAAAGAAAACTGAAATTAAAATTGAATAAATACAACTGTCAAAGTTGTATCTTGCTTCAAAAATTAAGGTTTCTATTTTTCTTCGTCGTCTACAACTTCGTCAATTTTAATCTCAATGTTTCGATGTACTGACATTAAAGCAAGCCCTACTAGTCTATCTTCCCCCGTTATATTTCTTAAGTAAGTTTTTAATCTCTTGAGAGTCGAGAAACTCCTCTCTGAAGAAGCTGTGCTTACTGGCAGTACTGCTAACATAACTAATAATTTATTTATATTCGGAAACATATCTTCTGCACACTTTTGTAGAGTCTCCACAGCAGTCCTTATTGGTTTTTCAAAGCTGGCACATTTCATCTGCCATAATTCGAATTCAGCACGCAACATTGATTCATTGTTAGTGTTTAGATCATCAGAGTATTTTTCAATTGCAGGCAATAAATGCTTAAACTCACTTGTCTTTGTATTAACTGGGATTAACGTGTACAAAGACTTGATTATTTCTTCCTGCCCTAAAAAACGTTCCCCAAGTGAGCGTATTAGGTCTTCAATAATTGGAATAAATAGTGAAACTCTATAATACTGTTCTGCATTTTCAGCCTGATAATTCTCGCGATGCTTTTGTTTAGAGTCAGTGTTGGCGTTGGTCAAACTACGAATAGGACGCGTTCATAGTCATTTCCAGTCAAGCGGCTGCTATTATCATATTCATTATGCGCTGGGCACAAAAAACAAGCGAAAAAGCAGAAAATAGTGTAAAAATTTTATATTATACGTAAAAAAAAACCGTTCGTTCGGGGGAGGCCCGGGCCCACCCCTTATATACGCCACTGTGTTCCGGTAACTTTAGGAGAAAGTAACTTACGAAGTTATGCAGTTTAACCGTCTATATATCATTGATAATTCATTCTTTTATATTTCAGTTTGAGTAACGTAATTAGGGATTTTTAAATTGATTTTCCCCTATAATTGTAACTGAAATGTGACTTGCGGCAATACATGTTCACTCCGTCACTATTTTCTGCTACTGCAAGAAATTATTAGGCAGATGTGCCAAATGAATTACAGCAATTTTACATGCAAGCATGAAAAAATGCGAAGTGTACTGACTCTAATTGTAACACTTCATCTGATTTTGTTATTCGTTTTTCAGATTCGGCAGTATTGAATTGTTCTGCTAAATATGGAGCCATCGAAAAAGTACAACCGGCACTTCAACAGTACATTAACCATCACTTCGTCCGTTCGTTCGAGTATCTTTTAATGTCCACCCATTTCGCTAACTACCAAAAGAACAGGGCTGGGTTCGAAAAACTCTTCCGTGAGTTGTCCGATAACAAATGGCATGAAGGTATCGAAATGATAAAGTACCTTGACAGTAGAGGTGGTGAAATGGACTTCAATAGAATCGCCGAGGATGTTGCGAAAGAAGAAGAAAAAGAACGTAGTTTTGAATTGTACGAGCTTGCCGCTGTTGCTAGGGCTTTAGACACCGAGAAGAAAATGGCGCTGGAAGCGAATTCTATTCACAGCGAAGCCACCAGGAAGAACATCAACTTCCACGATCCTGAGATTTCCGACTACATTGAAAAAGAAGTGGTTCACAAAGAAAAGGATCTTATCAGAAAGTTGGCTGGATATGCCACTGACTTGACAAACTTACTTAATAAGCAAGATAGTTCTTTGTCATTGTTCCTATTCGATGAATATCTTCAAAATAATAAACTGTTTTAGATATTCTTTTTTAATGTAATTTCCTAAGGAGACTTCATCTTTTGATTAAAATACTTTATTTTGTAGAATTATTAATAAATTGATTTAAAAGGCTGTTTGTATATAATGTAATAAAAAATTATACTGTGTAATATTTTTTATTTTATTTTAATATTAACCCTAATAGGGCTGCTGCTGCTAAAATTCCAGGAATCTATGACGAAACCAAATGTGCTAGTCTCGTGTATTTTTCTCAAATGTTTTTAGACCTGCATTAGCATTATAACAGTGTTTTTGTCAGTAATTGAAAAAAGTGTATCTACCACTTCCATATGTAGGGAAGCCGACTTGTGTTTAACTCCGGACGAGGAGGGGGGGGGGGGGAATTGGCGTTCCATGACGAGTGCTAAAAAAAGTCCTTGCCTCTTTCCGAAGGTCCTGTGATGTATTTTGCCCACTGAGCAGTTATGGGAAAACTTCACGTTTCTCCGAGGCGGTCCTGGTCCCCTTGTAGTCGGCGCCTATGCTTCCATGTTTTTTGTCAATGAAAAATCGTTAACTGACCATAATGTCCAATTTTATCTAAATATATCTATAAACTTACAAATAAAAAACTTTAATGTTTCAAAAAAATAGAAGGAAATTACATCAGAACGGTGAAAAAAGTTAAGGTAAAATCCATTAAGTAGTATTTTTTGTATTTAAACCGAAATTATAAATAATTGATGAACAAATCGATTACATATATAAATATACAATCATAATTAAGTATTATTAATATAATACAAGTTCTTGCATTTTCAATTTCTCTACTTGCACGCGTTCAAAATTTTAAAAACTTTAAATGCTATTTTTTCCGTTTTACTGTTGCTGCACATAATGACTTACTTCCAAACTGACGATTTATAAATGTTCAGTTTTTGTGCTTCCGTATATTTTATAGAAATGTTCACCTTGGACAATACTTCTAAAATACGAATTAAACAAGATTTATATTTAAAAAGATTAAACACATAAAAACAGTTCATTTAAAACAATTTACCTTGTAATAAAAAAAATGAGATTTAAAGATACAAGAATGGAAGTAGAAGGCTACCACTTTTAGGATAATCTAAACTATTCATATAGTCGATCAACATTCACAAAATTAGAATCCGGTCAATGACTTATTTGCTTTGTTGTTAGGCGTTATCATGGTAATATGACGATTCGCTAAATTACAGTGGCGTGAATTGTTGGGAATCAGTACATAACTCAAGTATTTAGATAGTACATATTTTGGTTTCGCCACTGGCTTATCTCAAGCAGCCATAACAGATGCGCGGTCTTGTGACGTAATATTCTTTTGTTACCAAGCAGATGACTCATTTTATTTTAATTGATCACTTTTATAGATATAAAATCGTATTTCATTGAATTTACGCACCCTATGCCATTTTAGACACAGCAAACATTTTAATCATCCTTTTGGGACTATATAAATTTAAAATTTTGTAGAAATATGTTTTTCTGTAAATAACTTTTGATGCTAATTTGTTGTATACTACCTTCAAGTTTATATAGTTAGATTATATTTGAAAGGACCTTTTCAGATGTATTTTGGGACTCCGTTATTTAGAGGACCAACAGCAACAAAGATGTAGACTTAGGTACTTTTGGCTTTGCCACTACGCGTTATTTTTCTCTTCAAATTTTACCTATACCCATTTGTCGACTAGCCTGGTCTTTTATTAGACTTAACAACTTTGACAGTGCCTTCCGCATCTAATTCTATGCGTCAGGCTTTTCTTCGCTTAGTGTTAGAAACCTCAATCTAGCCAAGACGTGGATTGATGTTTCCTCTTCTTCACAGGATCTACACAATGTTGCTTCTTCTGCAGTTATCGTATTTGATCCAGTAGGTCTGTTGTGAACTGGGTCGAGGGTTACTTAATGAACTTTTTGGCCTATCTCAATCTTGGATAGTTTTTCAACCATAGCTCTAACAAACTATTATTTTTGAAAAAAAGTCATTGAAGCAAAATTCAAATATACCTAACGGATTGAAAATAAAAAAATGTATAAACAACTATTTATTCTTGAGAGTGTTTTGTTGAATGATGATCTACAAAGAAAACATGGTACATATATAGTAATGTTTTTTACATACAGTGCCGTTTGCTACGAGTTAATTTGTTTATAGCAACTATTGTTCCTTGTTTATCCTTTAGATTACGATACCGATCAACACAGTAATTCAGACGATTATTCTACCAAATACTCCTCCTTTTCTATGTCAATATCAGAATCTGGTGCCAATGGAGTACATTTTTGTAATAGGATTAGACACAAATTGTCACGGAATTCTGTAATATGTTATTCTGCGTGACTTGTTTAGATACAATATGATATTTACGATTGTGGACTCCAATAATAACGCAATAGCAAAGTCAATATAACCTTTGACTTGATTGTAGTCGAAAATAACATTCGGTTTTTCCATTTTACGATTAGTAACTCCTCAAAACAAAATACAAATAATGCGACGCAATAACATATATGACACACGGCCCTGTGCCCTATAGTATATGTATGTTCCTACAGGCCACGACATAAATGTTTCAAAAAAAAGGACAAACTGAAATACAAAAATTCATATACAGGGTGTTTCCGAACTTGGCGTCCAAATTTGTAGGGATGGTAGTTCGCATAATTTGAGAGCGATTGGCAGATTCCAAATATTGCTCTGCCATTCTCCCAGTGTTCCTTGTTACTTCCATGCAACTAGAAATTGTAAAAGAGGATCCAGTTGCAGATACAACCATTTCGTTTTAGTTTCGTAAGAGTTCCAGGAGGAACTATCTCTTAAGGAGGGGACAATGTAATGTGGGCCATTTCCGACCAATCTGGTCATGCTCTGGTCCTTAGGTTCCCTCTGCCTTGTTTGGGCCATTTTATGACCCCTCGTGTCCTTAAAACCAGGAATATTTGATGAAGGGGATAAACCCCCTTTACCCAACTATAGGGACGGCTATGCTTACAGATAGCATATATTAATCATTTATTCAGGAATGTACTAGAACCTTTATAGGAGAGAATTCCTTTCGGAAACACCTTCGCCAATTATATAGATATGCGTTTACAGTTATTGGCAGTCAGTCGAAGTCGAGTCATAGCAGTGGGAACATCGATAAAGTAAATGTGATATAAATTAGTATAAGTAAATATGTTAAATAAATTAAAAATATAAATAGTGTTTAAGTATTAAATAAATTAGTATGTAGTGTAAATAAATTATAAATAACTGTTTTAAATAAATAAACTTTTTTTAAAATAAACAATCGTTATACTTAAATCACGTGATGTCACCTCTATGGCCACCTACCTGGTGTGATCTGGCCGGACACTGACGTGGTGTGTAAAGTGGATTAGGATATAAAAATTGAGACAAACAACACTTACTATGTTTATTATAATATAAATTACCTACGATAATACAATATAATTGCACATATATATTGAAATATGTGTATAAATTATTTTCAATAATTAATAACAAAATAACTTAATACTTTTTAATAGATATTCTGTATCATGAAAGTTGTTAGCGCTCAAAATATTTTTAACTAGTTAATTTAATCATTACCAAAAAGTAGTTTAACTGTACAAATTTATTCAGTTAACTAGTTTCGACCTCTGTTTAGATCGTAATCAGGGATTGCGTAGAAGTCAACTACGCAAGAATAATTTTATTTTAATTATATGAGGCGGTAGAAGCCAATATGGTGCATGACATGTTAAATGTGGAACGGTGGTGTAAGCGATTAGTAGCCCTACAGAATGAGAAACTTGTTTCATAACCTCATTAAATTGTTTTATTAGTAACAATATGGTGCAAGTCAACCTTACACCAAGTTTTCAATAAGTAATGTTGAGATCAGTACAAAAATCAAATTGATATGGACAGGATCTGGCGCTCCGGGGCGACTTAAAGTTGATTCATGCTGTGGAAAACCCATAAAATATGATAACCATCAAATCCTACAATGAACCATGCAAATTAATTAAAAATTTACTTGATCTGCTCTAGGATTTGAAACCGTGTTCGCTAAACCACTGAAAGACCCGTAAATGAACACGTGCTGCTCGAACACACTGCGTTGAGTTGATGATCAACGTATTCTTCCGATTTTAACTTATAGAGCGCCCACACAGGCAGCTTTACGGAAGCAAACCCGGAAAGAAAAGCAAAAAGCTTTGGAAAGATAAATGATAAGAACGAGGCTCAAGGCAGAGAAACAAATCATAGGATTAGAAACATAATAACAAATTAAATGATGCTATTACGAAGAGGAAAAAAATAGCTTAACCAGTTTCATCGTTACAAATGCAGTAGACTGCCGTGTAAGAATTAACCTAAAGCTAGCAAAACCAGAAAGACAGGTTCACTATCGCTACCAACAACAAAAGTTGTCATAGGGATTTTGATTCAGGACCACCTACATTATGTATAAATATATTATGCTAGAACACAAAAGTGGTGAGGAAGTTGGGATGGCATACCAAAGATCGTGGGTTCAATGTCTATTAGGAGCGAATTTTCTTTGGTAATAAAGTGACTTACACCACTTCTGCTTTTTTACCACCTCAAATATCTGTTGTTTCTTTTGCATCATTCTTTAAGATGTTAACCTAATTGTATTGGTAAAAATTAAACAGAATTTATGGAAAAATTAAATAAATTCACAGCTCCTAAAACACTTCAAATAATATAATGTATTCTATGTACACTTGTCATTATAAATAAAATAAAAATAGTAAACTAAATTTATACAAAAAAAAAACGGCAATAATTTATTTAAACGCTATATAACAAAAATTTAAAAGTTAAACTATGCTTTCAGCTTGACGGGTTCCAATGGTCGTGTTTTAATATACGGAGGATTGGGCCACGGCCATACTTGCGGTAAAGATGGTTCGTAAATGTAGTTATACTGATGGGTTTCGATGTATTTCCTCATATCTTTGGGCTTGGGATAAACGGAGGCAATACCTAAAATAAACAAAGAAAAGATATGCATTTAGTAATCGGTTTTACACACGGTATGAGTAATGGTGAACCAACTTCCATTTAAAAATAAAAGAAAAGGGTTACAAGTAAAAATCCGCTAGGTTTGCTACCCTAATTCACCCCTTACGAGTGAATTTTAACCCCAAAAGCTGAGCTTGTGCGGGGAAAGGGACGGCTATTATTATTATTTGCCGTGGCGCTCCGGGGCGACTTAAAGATGATTGATGGTGCCATTTGACTTACAGGTGAGGAAAACCCGGAAAACCACCCACCATCATCGAGACGATAATGCATGGCGATTTTATAATCTGCATGTCATATCAACAGAAATTGAATTTCTATTAATACGGCACACATCAAATCCTAAACCGAACCATGCAATTTAATTAAAAATCCACATGGTTTGATCTGGGATTCGAATTCCAGCAGTCTCTGACTCATAAACTTGCCTATAAATGAATATAAGCGCGTTAGACCGCTACACCACCGACCCGTACTTGTCTTCAGTGCAAAAACCTGCTTTACATCATTTTTTTTAATTTAAATTTAAATTTAAGAAGTATATATGTAAGGACATCAGCAGAGATTAGCAGTAGCAGAGCATCAGCTCAGGAAAATGATCTGTGAAAATCAAGAAAAGTCATTACTTTTTACTAACGTGACCATTGTCCTTTGCCTCACTGGTATTTACGTTGAATGACACCAGGCACTTAATACGGAGATTAAAGGAGCCGAAAACGGTAAATGAAGAGGATTAAAGAAACAGGATGTAAAGGAACGAAGGGTATAAGATGGTTGACGAAAAGGGTGTAAGGGTCTAAAGAAACCAAGGGGTTGATCTCAAGCTAAACGCCAAAGACGAAGGAATGATCTACAAGACGATTAGGATATGTAGAGGGCAGTGTTGTAATGTCAAAAGGACACCTTAAGTACATGATGTAATCACTAATCACAATAGAAAACAAAATTGTTACTTACGTTCATCATAAGCATAATTTAAGATTTTAATTGCTATCTGTATAGAACAATCTCTGATAAGCGAAAGGGGTGGGTAGAGACTTCCTCTGTTTAAGTCTTCATCGGACACGTTCTCCGCTATGGTTTCAGAAGCGATCAGGAAGATTTGTTCATTAATATGATGAATTCCCGCTAGCAACACTCCCAAAGCCACGCCTGGGAAAATATAGGCGTTATTACCCTGGCCGGGATAGAAGGTTTTGTCATTGAAATCCACTCGACCGAACGGAGAACCACTTGCAAACACAACACGTCCCTATAAAAAAAGTTAAAATTAATAAATGGCTATTTAGTTTTAAATTTCCGAAAATTTTACCTCAGTGTGAGTATAAGCCTGTTCTGCGGTACATTCAGCCTTGCTGGTAGGGTTGCTTAGAGCGAAAATAATGGGTCTTTCATTAAAGGACGCCATAGATTTCAAAACTGCCGGTGTAAAGGCTCCAGCTGCAGCCGAGGCACCTAAAAGATCAATTATTTGACATTGAGCATATACACAATTTTAACCTGCGTACCTATTAATATTGAAGGTTTAATTTCATTTACAATTGCAGGAAAATCTTTAATCGGAGCATGATTTTTGGCATATAATTTTTTATGGCCTTCTAAACCTCCTTCGGGCCTTTCCAAAGCCAACAAGCCATCAATGTCAACCATCCATATTCTGTTTCTCGCTTCTTCCGTCGATAGTCCTTCGTTTTCTAAAGCCTTGACAGTTAAATCGGCGATACCAATGGCCGCTTCTCCAGCTCCAAGGAATAAGAATTTATTTTCGCTGAGTTTTTTACCAGTTATACGTTTAGAAGCTAGTAATCCTGAAACGGCTACGCTAGCCGTACCCTGAATGTCATCATTAAAAGTACAATATTCTTCTCTGAACCTGTCGAGGAATCTAAAGGCGTTGTGGTTGCCGAAGTCCTCGAATTGTATAAGGGTGTTTTGACCGTAACGAGTGACCACTGCCTGCATAAATTCATCAACGAAGTCGTCGTATAATTTACCAGTGGCTCGTTTTTGACGTAAGCCTACGTAAAGAGGATCTTCAAGAAGACTCTGCAACATTTTTAGCGGCGTTAATTAAAATACAAACACTTTGCTATTGCTTACCTGGTTGTTGGTTCCAACGTCTAATACAATAGGTAGACATTCGTGTGGTTTAATTCCAGCCAATGCGGTGTATAAAGCGAGTTTACCAACAGGTATACCCATTCCACAAGCACCTAAATCTCCTAGACCTAAAATTCTTTCACCGTCTGTTACGACTATCGCTTTCACATTGGGTTCAGGCCTAAAACAGGAAGTGTACGAATTTTGGTGTTTAACGAGATTGGCAACCATATCGTAGTATTTAAGTAAATATATAATTTGCTTACCAATTTTTAATGACATCATAAACATGTCCGATATCGTTTATTGTTATAAAAAGTCCTCTAGGTCTTCTGTATATCAAACCGAACTTTTGACAGGCCAATCCTACAGTGGGCGTGTAAACTATGGGCATCAAACGTTCAATGTTCTCTGAGAGCAGTCTGAAAAATAGTTTTTCATTTCTATCTTGCAATTCCGTAAGGTAGATGTATTTGTTTAGATCTTCTTGGTATCTCTCAATAGATATTCTACAAAGTTCCAGTTGCTGTTCTTGCGTTTTGAATCGAGCTGGTTGCAGACCGTGAATACCAAGTGCTTGACGTTCCTCCAATGTAAATCCTAATCCCTAAAAATTAATATTTACCAAAATGTTTACAAATTGTATCAAATCTAAATGGATCATAAATATTTACTTTATTTAAACGTGGGTCTCTAAGATGCTCAATTCCCATGACTTGTGCAGGAGAGAGGACATCTCCAACGAAGGTTCTTGTTTGTTGATCGTCAGCATTTAGAATTCTTAAAGTTTCGAATAGTGTTTTTTGACCAGTGGATGCTGACCTCGATCTACGTAAACATATAACTTTATTAGTTCTCTGTACTGAATTGAATACTATTATAACTTAAAAAAAGACGTGTAGCTGGCAAATTTTGCACATAAACTTATACGGCCATCATAAGACCTATACAGTGCAGTTGTTTGGGTATCAAAAACCAAATTGACAACTATTCGCAAACTAGAACAAATTCAAAGAAGAGCAGATAAATATTTTTGAAGGTAGTGGTTAAACTCAAATTAAAAGACAGTAGTTGTATTAATTTAATGTATTATTTTTATGTATTAGTTTTCGTATTTTATTCTTCTAACATCAATGGCAAAATAATATAGTTTATTTGTGAGAGAATCTTAATAATTCCTATTAATATTTGTGATAAAACTCAGATATCCTATATTCAATGACAATGGAAGTATGTATGTATTATAATTAACTTGACTGACTCTACGTATCAGCTGTGTTAAGTTGGCTGACGACCAATAATTTATTTTCATTAGAATTATGTTACATAAACACCTCAAAAAGTATTGTACCGATAAAATAATTGTAAATGAAGACTACCTATATCAACGATAATTTCGTCATAAAATATGAATGTAAAAAGAGATAAAAATGGTTTCATTGTTAATTTACCTACTTTATAATTTCAGTCTCAAATTTTATTAATGATAACCAAGGTCAAATTTAATTATTATAAAAATAGTAGCTGTTGTAAGTGTGATGTTACATTAGCGACTTTTTCCTTTAATAATTTCTAAAATTGGACGAGGGCGAATTTGGTTGAAAAAATGTTAACGGTTTTGAAGTTAATTCGCTTTTATCAAAACTAACACAAACCATGTTAACAAAATCTTAGATACTGTGTTTCGCTTTTTATAAATGTTGGATAATTTAAAATCTCTATTATAATTACAAGAATAATAATTATGAATTTTAATATAGGTGTGTGTTTGAAAATTTCATTGGTTTTTCCACAGGATGTTTAAAAGTGCAGAGACTTCTTTGTGGTACTAGATAAAAGTTGTTGGTTTAATGTGATTATGCACTGAATTTCTATTATCACAAATGTAAATGATATAAATTTAAAAGTTATAAAAATAACTATTTTATGTAACACAGAACCAAGCCATCAAAGAAACTGATACTTTAGAATATCCAAGTGAATGCACTCATTTTTGTCGCGTTGCGATTTTTCTGATTAACTGACTTTTTAAAACAAACTATAAAATAGGGAACGAATTAAACAGCAATAATACTTTTAAAAACATTTAATATTTTGTATTTAAAAGAACATTATTTAACGTTATTTTAGAAGTTAAATAAGAAGCTTGACACAAAAGAACATACAGTTCCTACTTCTCTTATAGACCATTTTAAGACGACGTCACAACAAAGCCGCCATATTGATGAAGGGACACTCAATCTCAATAAATACACTTTACCATAGTTTTTTCTTCGAATAGATAGCTTGACAATTAAGGGAATGACGAGCGCTCAAAATCGACTGATGTTTGTAAATTTTAATCAAATCGTATGTTAGTTCGCTTCGCTAATAATGAAAAACTGATTCAATGTTTTTTTTTTGCAAAAAATTTTGAACAAAAGGTCAGATGGAAAACTTCAGCGCTCTACGACAACTTTTAATTTTTCCGAATTTCCTGACCTCGATCGCGTCTAAGTATTCGTTTTAAAAATACACCTTTTGGAGAACATGAAACAAGACTAAATTTATGATTGATTGTCGGGACGCATTTTTTCTAATCTTTTTTCAAGTGAAAGTATAAGGGTACAAGTAGTGGATAAATAATATAATGGACTACTATCTTGTATTTATTTAAAATCAAATCTTTTGAAACATTTATTTGTTTTTAAATGTTATATTTATTGTTTGTAACTGTAAGTAAATACCTACGTACTTAAGATAATTTGATTTCATTTCCGATAAAATGATCTAATCCGAAAACACAACAGGCGCATGATTAACGGGATTCAGCTGTATAGAATACCTTTAGAGTACTTTAGACCAACATATCAATTTGTACGCACTTCATTCCTTTGGTCAATATGTATTGACACTTTGTAGTTTTGTTATTTGTTCATCCACTTATTCTTTTATTAACTCACCATTCCTACAAGTAGTGGATAAATAATATAATGGACTACTATCTTGTATTTATTTAAAATCAAATCTTTTGAAACATTTATTTGTTTTTAAATGTTATATTTATTGTTTGCAACTGTAAGTAAATACCTACGTACTTAAGATAATTTGATTTCATTTCCGATAAAATGATCTAATCCGAAAACACAACAGGTGTGTGATTAACGGGATTCAGCTGTATAGAATACCTTTAGACCAACATATCAATTTGTACGCACTTCATTGCTTTGGTCAATATGTATTGACACTTTGTAGTTTTGTTATTTGTTCGTCCACTTATTCTTTTATTAACTCACCATTCCTACAAGTAGTGGATAAATAATATAATGGACTACTATCTTGTATTTATTTAAAATCAAATCTTTTGAAACATTTATTTGTTTTTAAATGTTATATTTATTGTTTGTAACTGTAAGTAAATACCTACGTACTTAAGATAATTTGATTTCATTTCCGATAAAATGATCTAAACCGAAAACACAATAGGCGCATGATTAACGGGATTCAGCTGTATAGAATATCTTTAGACCAATATATCAATTTGTACGCACTTCATTGCTTTGGTCAATATGTATTGACACTTTGTAGTTTTGTTATTTGTTCATCCACTTATTATTTTATTAACTCACCATTCCTACAAGTAGTGGATAAATAATATAATGGACTACTATCTTGTATTTATTTAAAATCAAATCTTTTGAAACATTTATTTGTTTTTAAATGTTATATTTATTGTTTGCAACTGTAAGTAAATACCTACGTACTTAAGATAATTTGATTTCATTTCCGATAAAATGATCTAATCCGAAAACACAACAGGCGCATGATTAACGGGATTCAGCTGTATAGAATACCTTTAGTTAGACCAACATATCAATTTGTACGCACTTCATTCCTTTGGTCAATATGTATTGACACTTTGTAGTTTTATTATTTGTTCATCCACTTATTCTTTTATTAACTCACCATTCCTACAAGTAGTGGATAAATAATATAATGGACTACTATCTTGTATTTATTTAAAATCAAATCTTTTGAAACATTTATTTGTTTTTAAATGTTATATTTATTGTTTGTAACTGTAAGTAAATACCTACGTACTTAAGATAATTTGATTTCATTTCCGATAAAATGATCTAAACCGAAAACACAATAGGCGCATGATTAACGGGATTCAGCTGTATAGAATATCTTTAGACCAATATATCAATTTGTACGCACTTCATTGCTTTGGTCAACATGTATTGACACTTTGTAGTTTTGTTATTTGTTCGTCCACTTATTCTTTTATTAACTCACCATTCCTACAAGTAGTGGATAAATAATATAATGGACTACTATCACAGCTTATACAATACAGCTCCACAACTCCGTGTCGGCGTCTTTGATCTGGCGGTCGAGAACCAAGCAAGACGGAATGGTGCTATCTCTGTTAGATTCGAGGGAAAAGTCGGGCCCGGATTAAACAATTTTTTTATTATTGAAAAAATTGAAAACCTTGGCACGTAATAAGGTTGGTTACATGCCATATTAAGTAAGTTTTGGGAAATTAAATTTTTAATTTGTTTTAAATCTGTCAAATATAATTAAAAAAATTATTAAAATATAAATATTACGAAAAATAGCACATCTTTCGGATTAGAGGTAAAATAATTTGTATGTCGCTAGTAAAATCCTCGTTAACAAATGTTTTGAGCTAAGACAGTCACTTCACGACAAATTGTGGCTTGGATCCTTTTTACACCAAGGGCTTCAATTGTTAAAGAATTTTGTCACGCTCGTGGATGCAAATCAAGTAGTACCCCGTGTGTCTGGCAAGTGTTACTCTTTGTGCAAAGGGTTAATACCTAGATAAACGAATGCTTTGACTGAGGTCTGGGAACTCTATGGTATTTTGGAATTATAAAGAATTTGTGCTTTTATTTTAACAATATTGGTTATATTTAGATGTATTCTTATTAATTGAAATACAGATTTGTAGAAGTAATACTTTGACAGTTTTTATTAATATAATATATTCAATTTTTATCTGACCATACCGAAGTAGGGAATTTTGAAACTTTATAATAATGTGAAATTTGAATTACAATATTACACGAAATTACATAATTAATACTTATTTTAGGTAGGTACTAAATTTGTACTTGGAGAAAGTAATATCGATTTTTACAAGAAAACTTGAAAAGTAAATTAATTTAGTTCCTATTTTTGATGTAAAACTTAAACCAAGAAAACAAATAAATAGTAGTTTGTTCAACAAGGGTGGATATGATAGCCATATCACACAAAGACGAAGTTTGAGCACGACGTCGTAGGCGGAGTACTCAATCGTCTGATTGTGATATGAACAATCCACTCGATGTGGTCAGTATATTTTTTCTACGACCCACTAACGAAAATCTACAAATTTAAAAAATTATTTTAGGTTATTTAGACAAAATAACTAATTTTAAAATAATTTATAAAGTTGACTAATTTATAAAATAAACATGAAAAATTAATTAGTCCTTGGCCTAGATTCGATCCCGGGCTTTTCGCGTGGAAGGCAGATGTTCTATCCTCATCTTCACCGAAACTTTCAGGACTTTAGTTTTAATACTCGTAATTAAATTAGTATCATGTAGTTTGATTAAAATTTATTTTTTTTTAAATGTGGACACAATAAAAATAAAAATGCTATTATTTATCGAGTCTACACAATAATTTTAATGTATATTTAATATCAATAACTAAAATATATACTGACAATTAGTTTAACAGAATTGTCACTTATTTCAAAATTTTTAAATAATAGGAGTTGGGTGACCAAAATATGAACTGTGATTTGTAGATTTAATTTTGTTAAAGTG